GCCACCACCAGTGTCCCCAGTTTCTCTCCCGCCAACCCCCAGTCCCTAGCCTTCCTCTATGGCAGGCACTCGTCTTGCTCTCTTTGTCTCTCTCTTTGGGCTGTATGGTTTGCAATACCGATATTGAAAGGTTATCGGTGTATATCCCTTAATCTCCTCTCAGCACTCAGTTCTGGTCCAGAGTGATCATTTCCAACTATCATTGTCCTAATGGTCCTTTCTCTAGTCCAAATGCTCTCCCCTTCCCCGCCAACTACTTCTAGCAAGCTTCCAACCATGGATCAGTCCTCCTGGCCCTTTCTAACTGTTGATGTTAAATGTCCTCTTTAGCATTTAGCATACTGTATTCTCTGATCTCTTTGGCTTCTTTTCTCCTCTATTTGTCACTTACACTTGTTATTGCCTCTTCACATATAACAATCTATCTGAAATGCTTATGTATAGCTGGTCTTCATTTTTGGGTCCCTGATCTCTGTCCATGACTGTCTATATCTTCCCCAGATGTTTATACTCTGTTGCCAGCATAGCTTAATGAGGCTTCACTCTCAACCCAGCCCTTGCTAAGTTTCCTCCGTCAGTTAATGGTGCAGTTATCTAGTGAGGTAGCTGAGGATCTTAGAAGTCTTCCTGGAGCCCTGCTCCTTTACTTCCCAGTAGATTATTCCACCTCATTATTTATACCTACTTCTCTATGTTTTGCTTGTCCCCAGCAGACTTTCTCATAAAAGCACCCAAGTAGTATTTGTAGATAACACAATCGGGTAACATTTCAAATGTTTTGTTCAAAGACTCCCTGTGGCTGCATTTGATCCGTGCACAACACATGTTTGAAATCTCCAAATTGGCTTCTGCGTTACTTATTTGACTAACTGAATATATCCATAGGGTGAATCCTATAGGCAGCACCTGTGCATACAAAATGCAAGATTATAAATTACATGTGGATTTTCACTGTGTAGGGACTTGCTGCCATAATCCCAGTTAGAAACAGCTTTTAATTGAAATGCACAGCCCTTAGGATATACAAGATTTTCCATCCTTTTCTTTCTCTGCTTACTTGCCCAGTCCCATTTGTCACTATTTCTTCTTGCACACCTTTCCTCACCTATTAGACTGCCATCATATATAATGTTCAACTTTTCTGCATATAATGTCAGTTTCTCAATTGCTATTATGATTTATTCCCCTTTCCATTTTTCTCTGTGCATTCATTTTAGCTCAATGCTATTTATATTCCACTTTCCAGATACTGACTCCTGCCATACTCAAGTAATAAATTAATCCATTGATTTAAAAAGTTTGGGTGGTTTGTTGTTCATTTCCTTTTTTAAATTTCATTTCTCAGACTTAAAAATTGTATTCCTCAAGTACTGTATTCCTCAAATACATAGTTAATAACTACATATTAAATATACCCAGTGCCCTAAGCATTCATAAAGTACACGTTTACTTTGTCCTGGTGCTCTAGTGATTGGATGCAATCATAACTGAAGAGTGTTGTCAGTTGTCTTGATTTTTTTGTATACACAAGTTTGAGCTTTTCAATGGCTTTTAAAGACGTGACCTTAACACTTTCAGAGCACATTCAAAGCATGAACTGCTGAAATGGGAACCTTTGGCTTAAGCCAATCTCTTCCATTATTTAGGAGCAGAGACCCACGCAAGTGGAATCATCAGGATTAAGGAAGATTAATAGAGATTAATAATTAAGGTTAATTATTATGGGTGTGGGCATTGACAGGGATCCACTGTTAATCATTTTCATGACAAGTCATCTAATTCCCTAAGATCCCTCTGAACCCCCAGAGATCATGTGTATCCTTAATCTAGTTCATCTCAGCTTCCTTCAGCATTTACTATCTGCTAGTATTTCTACCATGGTATTATTTGTTCTTTGTGTTAATCTGCTTCATCTACTTGACCCTTCATTGCTTCTAAAAATACTTAATAGATTAAAGAAGTATTAGAATGATAACTCAAAGAAAGGATGGATTCTGAAGTACCCTTCTGGGGAAAGTAAGTCGGTCAGGAAACTATGAGGAAAAATAAAAAGATAAAATTGTCCAGTAGATAATGTAGTTAGGGAATATAATTCAATTATGCAATGTCTCTATGTAGAGTACTTCATCTCAGGTTTTTTCTCCCCGTCTAATTTTGTTAGTATTAGAAAGCCGTGCTGTGGATTCTTGGTGTATAATTTCTGTTATTTAGATTACATACCTGACAACAGAAATGTGCAATTTAGTGTTTTTGTAGCAGCAAAATCTGCTCATTAGCATAATTAGCACCAAGGAAACATTGTAAATGCTTCTGAGAAACCCGGCTCATGACTCCTCTCTGCCTTTATTTCCTTTTCCCTGAAATCTATCCTGTAAACTCATTATAAATCAGGGGGATAAAGACAGTCCCTTTCCCCCCCATGACCTCTCACATCTCTGATATGTAGAGTGACATATAAGGGAAAAGACAGTGTCAAATGATGACAAAGGCGTGGGCCTCTGATTACAAATCAGATTAGCGCGCACATGGGGTAGCGGGGGAATAGTTTGCAAATATCAACATTTCGGAGTATGAAATCAGTATCCTTCTTTGAGATGTCAGGTAAAACTGGATAGGAAAAAACTAAATATAGGATTAAAATGAATATGACTGAGACCTAGCTTCAGGTAAGAGGTTTAAGAGGTCATTTTGCAGTGTTTAGGATTTTAATCGGCATGGACATCCACACTATTATCCAAACAGTCAGGAGAGAGAAAAAAAATAAGCATTTCCAGCAATGATACAAAGAGATTCACCTAAAATCACAGAGAACTTTTATTTTATTTATTTATTTTTTTAATTTTTATTAGTGAGACACCATGAGGTACAGTTGTAGACTTAAAGATTTTGTGCTTGGGTTTCAGTTATACAGTGATCAAATACCCATCCCTCCACCAGTGCCCGTTTCCCCACCACCACGGATCCCAGTATCCCTCCCCCCCAACCCCATCCTACCCTGCCTTTTAATACTTTAATTCTAGGCCAGGAAATGCCTGTTCTGTGTCTTAATCTTTATTCCTCATGTTTATTAGGATGTTGACGGCTACCTTTGACGATTTGCTCTCGTTGATCAGAACCCTCTCTGATTTGCTTTTGATTGCTCTATCCCCTTAGGTATTCCTGCCTTTCCCAACAAAAGGAATTTAAAGAATTATTTTAACCAAGGGAGAGGGGTAAGAGAATAGAAAAAAATGTCACATGTATGAACGAATCACACAGATGTGCTTACTGGTATATTTTTTCCTTCTGGAAAGCTCATATTGACTTTTAATTTTTCTAGTGGTGCCAGGGATCGATCACTCGTACAAGGCAGTTATTCTTGGGCTGGAGAGATATTACAGTGGGTCATATGGTAGGACCTGGGTTTGATCCCTGGCACTGCATATGTTATCTTGAGCACTGCTAGGAGTGATCTCAGAGCTCAGAGCTCAGAGCTGTGGGAGTTTGCCAAGAAACAAATAAACAAAGATGGTTACTGAGCTATATTCTTGGCTCCTTCTAACTTTTTCAGTGATTGTTAGAGACTGAAAAGGATTTTTTAATTAAATAAATACCTTTTTAAATTTAGTTTTTAAAAATCATGTAATACTTCTACTTATAGGACATGGATTTATAGTCATAACATTGTAAACCTTAACAATTGTGCTTATTTCATACATTAACTACACACACACACACACACACACACACACACACACACACACACACACACATACCCCTCCATTTTGTAATGTAAGAAAAGTTTGATTTGCTGAACGGATCTCCATGAACTATGCATAGCTTCCTGGACCAGAATGCTGCCTTCTGGCTGGGTTGTGGCTAAGTTGGCAGAGCAGAACAAGCCTCACTTGCTAGACCCCGAGTTTGATCCCAAGCACCTCAAGGAGTTGACCCTATCAAAACTAGCAAACCCATATGAATGCTGACCCAAAATATGACTCAGTGTCATGTGTCAGCTATTGTCACAAAACTTTCTTGTTACTAACTACTCCAAAAACTCAGAAATACAAAAAAATACGTTTATGTCATGCACCCAAGTACAGCTGTGGGTTTTTTCTACCCGATTTGCCAAGTCTTACAACCAAGGATTGGAGCTCTCTGGCTTCTTCTATTCCCAGCATTTCTTCATAAACAAAGCAAGGTTTTATGGATATGGTAAGTCCCGAGCAAGAGGCAGGGATGTAAACTGTGATGAGGTCATGCAAAGTTACAGCTGCGTGGAAGACTATGAAACTTAGGGCCCACATCAAACCACAGGTTACTTGTGTGTTTGGATGCTAATACAAACTTTTCTGACATTGCAAAAACACTTTTCTTTTTTCTTCTTTTTTTTTTTTCAAATGGTGAGGGGTTTATTTGAAGAGTTGTGGTACAGAATGGTTGCATGGGAAGAAAGTTTCTTGGTGTGGGAGAGAGAAAAATCGGAAGATTGTTCCTTTTATGACAGTCTTCTGGCCTTTCACCTCTACTTGGCTCAAGGTTAATTTTGTTGCACTCCATGGATCAGATTCAAAGTCATACTGGAGACTCTCTCTCTTGATCTTACTTTTAGCCCAGTCTTTGTTCTTTTTACTTTCCAATATCCCATCATCCATAGAATGTACCCCCCCTCCCACCCCTCCAAATGCCTGTGAGGCAGATGATTTCTACTTAATTCTTCTCTACATTGATTACATTCATCATTTCGACAAAAAATGCACCAACAAAAACTGAACGCTTCACAAGATATGTGCTATAGCATTCTTGGTATACTCTACAACAATATATTATTTTTTTAGTTGGGTGTAGGTTTTCCTTTTCTGATTTCATATTACTGTGATAATATTATTTATGAATCATTAAAACATGTTTTAGTTAAAATGTTTGTGCACTTGTAGCTGCTTATACTAAACTATTTCACAAGGCAGTTTTGATAAAGCTGTTTGGTTGAAACACATTGTTGTTACTTTAGGTGCTGCTTATTCTGATGCCGTTTCCAATTGCCTTGAGTAAAGTAGGAACATTCTATGGCTTGGATGACTTACATTTCAAATTGGTTTGAGCAAGATGATTGGTATGAAGGACTACAAAGAGTAAGATTTATTTCTGTTGTAATTATTATTTTTTGCTATTTTTTCTTCTCATGTAGCTATATTTCTTGTCATTTGTTTTGTAGATTTTTTAATTGCAAACTTTTGAGGGTAAATAAGGTAACTAAAAGTAAAACAAAGGTGATAATATACTGTGTAAGGGCAACTACAATTAAATTGAAGAAAATCATATTTTTGTTTTATTTTTAGTGTTTTCAGCTTGTCTTTATGTTTTAAATATGAAATAGAATTCTTTCTAATCAGATTAATTTATGGAAATGGCTATAATTCAAGAAAGAAGTTTATATTAAAGAAATTATTTAATGAAATAGAGTATGTGTATAATAATACTGTGTATTATAATATTTTTTTAAAATGTAAAAGAGTCTGAAGAAAAGGGGAATTTCACTTGATAAATTTTTAGGCAATCGATTATGTTTCAAATCATTTGCATTGTTACTATGGTAACTTTTTCATAGTGTTTTAAAAACATATGCTGATATATTGCAATAGCTTCTTATCAAGATGAATTAAGCTAATAATAATGAGGCTTTCATTATTTTCACCCTTTTAATGGAAGATATAGTTATTTCAATGAAGGTACTATATGGATTTTTCTTTTCATTAATGAATAGAACAAAAGATCTGGAATATCTTTATGCAGTTCCACTGAATTGTTCTCCATGATAGATCAACAATATATGTTACTTAAGATATATAGTAGCACTATAGCACTGTAGCACTGTCCTCCCCTTGTTCATCGATTTGCTCAAGTGGGCACCAGTAACATCTCACAACAAATTGTGAGACTTCTTGTTACTGTTTTTGGCATATCAAATACGTCACAGGTAGCTTGCCAGGCTTTGCTATGCAGGCTTTGCTATGTAGCTTGCCGGGCTCTCCAAGAGGGGTGGAGGAGTCAAACCCCGGTTGGCCACGTGCATGGCAAATGCCCTACCCACTGTGCTATTGCTCCAGCTGTACTAAATTTTCTTTCTCTTTTCTAGGCCCCAATGCTAATCATATCAAAGACACTTTCTTGGTATTTTACTTGCTTTTAATTACTGATTTGATTGCAATTCTTAGCAATTTAAAATCTTGAACTTTTTTTTCAGGTTTTATTTTTCTTAATCTGTGAAACAAACTGGTAATTATCTCTGTAGCCAGTAAAAATAGAAACTGGAAAATGATTATCATATTGTGAATACTAAAGCATTCTTATAAATGGTTTAATATTTGGAAGTAGTTTTCCATTCTAAATTCCATTATCATCCATAATTGATGAAATAGCTTATTGTTTAATAATAGCAAATAATAATAAATGATAAATAGTAAATACTAATACAAATAATAGTTTAATCTGAGACCACTTCAGACACACACATACACATACTCAAGAGATATAATTTTACCATCTTGCTTGTATTATGTGTTTACTTTAAACACAGTATGTGTATTTTAATGTTGAAACTGAAATCTCCTATTTAAATATAATTCATGTATTTCTCTACAAGAATGGACAAGGATGATGATCTAATTTTCATAAAGAGGAGTTCTGGCATCAGGAGTGTGCTCAGTAGTAAAAGCTCATTTCTTTGAGTGTGAATATTTGACATTAATGCCTAGTACAGGAAACAAACAAACATAAAACAAATATGCTTCTTTGAAAAGATTTTGGAGCAGCTCCTGTAGATTTTAAGTATTCAATATATTTTTATTGGGTCAGAAAGATAGTATAAAAGTTAAGGTGCTTTTCTGGGGAAATATTTACCTTTACCATAACTGCAATCTGTTCTTTAATGCTGCTATAAAAGGGAATTTATTAAAGGGTTTTTATATGAATTACTAGATCTGTAACATATTACGAGTAACTACTTTTATTTATCTTGTTTTACCAACATAATTAAGGCTACATATGACAAACACTTAATCAACATCATTCTCAATGGCAAAAAAAAAAAAAAAGAAAAACCCTAAATTCTTCTCTTTGAGATTCAGGGACAAGATAAGCATATGTGTTCATCCTTGCTATACTAAGTATAGAGTTGAAAGTCCCAGTAAGAGTAATTAGATAAGATAAGGATATACAGAATGTTAAAAGTAAAATCACCTCTATTTGTAAATGATATCATGAAACAAATAGAAAATCACAAAGAACTTAAAAAAAAAACTATTAGAAATAATGCAGTAACATTGTAGGATACAAAATTGACACATAAATTTGTCATATTTTTATACAAAATAGTTATTAGTAAACAATTTTATTTAGAATCATACCAAGAGGAATTAAATGTCTTGAATTTATCCAAGAGTGAGACATTTGAGGGGTCAGAGAGATAGCAAAATGGGTAATGCATGTACCTTGCATGTAGCTAACCTAGGTTCAATCCCTGGCAAGACATATGCTATGTGAACCCAGCCAGCAGTGATTACTGAGCACAGAGCCAGGATTAACTCTGATTACTGTAAGGTGTGGCCCATAAACTAAAGAGAAAAAAAAAGAGTTTTTTAGAAGAATTTGTACACAGAAAACTAGAAGATGATGTTGAAAATAATAGAATAGATAAGAAAAGGATTTAAAGAGTGTCTAAAAGTAAAATTACCTCCACTTGTAAATGATATCATGACACTCTTTAAATCCTTTTCTTATCTATTCTATTATTTTCAACATCATCTTCTAGTTTTCTGTGTACAAATTCTTCTAAAAAACTCTTTTTTTTCCTCTTTAGCTTATGGGCCACACCTTACAGTAATCAGAGTTAATCCTGGCTCTGTGCTCAGTGATCACTGCTGGCTGGAGCAATAGCACAGCGGGTAGGGTGTCTGCCTTGCACGCAGCCAACATGGCCGACCCAAGTTCGATTCCTCCGCCCCTCTCGGAGAGCCCAGCAAGCTACCGAGAGTATTTGATATGCCAGACACAGTAACAACAAAGTCTCCAATGGAGACGTTACTGGGCCCGCTCGAGCAAATCGATGATCAACGGGAGGGCCTTTACTTTACTTTTTTTTAGCTTATGGGCCACACCTTACAGTAATCAGAGTTAATCCTGGCTCTGTGCTCAGTGATCACTGCTGGCTGGAGCGATAGCACAGTGGGTAGGGCGTTCGCCTTACAAGCGGCCAACATGGCCTACCCGAGTTCGATTCCTCCGCCCCTCTTGGAGAGCCCAGCAAGCTACCGAGAGTAGTAGACACAGTAACAACAAAGTCTCCAATGGAGATGTTACTGGGCCCGCTCGAGCAAATCGATATCATGATATACATAGAAAATCACAAAAAACTTTATTTAAAAAAATTGAGTAGACTGGAAGAATTAGCCTAGTTTTAAGAAATATTACACTTCCATCTTTCAGCAGCATTATTTTCCATAGTGATGATCTAGAAAGAACCTTGATGTCTATTAAGAGATAGCTGGATGAAGAAGATGTGAACTATGTACACAGTGAGATACTGTTAGGCTACAAACATTACGAAGTACTGACATTTACAATAGCACTGTGTGAATCTCAAAGATAAGCTAAGTGAAATATGCCAGATGAAGAAAGATTTCACTATGATTTCACTCATACAGTGTACAGATTTTTAGGGCTGTGAATATTCATTAGTGGACACATGTTCATATTACATTTATCAAGAATGTATAACACTAACAATAGACCGCAAGAGATATATATCTCTGGATTTTGGGTAATGATATGTCAATGCAGTTTCATCACCATAATGACTGTCCTCTCTGGTGGGAACTGTTAAGTAGTTACAGTGGTTGTGTGTATTAGGACCGGGTCGTATGTGGGAATCCTAATTTCCAGTCGGTTTTGTTGTGAACCTAAAACTTCTCTGAAAGCGTACAACACATGTTGGTGCTTAGGGCCCAAGAGTTACTAGGGATCCACCTTAGGCCCTAATGCATGTAAATCAGTTATCTCATTTAAGAAATAATCATTTTGCTAGAAGAAAAGCGACATCTAAAGTCAATGCCTTACTCTGGCTCACACGTTTTTGCTCATTCAGGCCTCTGAGATCTCAGACAGCCTGGTCCACTCACATCACCGTCTGCATTGCTCAGCAACTCTCGTGTCACATAAACAGGTTTCATTCAGATGTTCAATAATACCCAGCTGCTGTCAGCGAACCGAGCTGGTGGTGTATTCAAACTTAGTTTGAATACACCTGCATTGTGTAGGTTAAGCATCAATGTAAAAGTGATGACATTTTATGCCCCAGTCCTGTCATTACTCTCATCCTCTCGCCCCTGTCCTGTTGTCTCCACAGATTTTCAATTCAGCTCTTCTACCCTGAATATCTTACCAGTGTTGAAAACCCGAACATGTGAATTGTAATGTGGATATTTACTTTTCTCTGCGAGGTTCCATAAACGTGGCAGTGCCGTTTGTCCTTCTAGCATGATACTAAAGCCCTCAAAAAGCAGCTACATTTTCAGTTCCCGCCACTGCTTAGTGCCTTCCTTACCTTTAGCCCAATGTCGCTTGTCACTTGACATTCCCTCCTTGAATGTCCCTGCCTTGCTGTGTAGAGTTGGAAGGGTTCAACTCCAGGTTTCTGAAACTATGAGTTGAGATGAATAAAACCAGTAAAACACAATTTCAGGGCCGAATGGTGTGGAGAATAAAGAGGAAGTTTAACTGAGTGATGGAAGTGACTGATGTGTCTCTCGTTTTGTTTTGCAAGGCGAACATGTCGCAGGTCAGACAAGTGGGCCTGCTGCCTGCCGGGTGTCAGCCCTGGAACAAAGATGTCTGTGCTGCCCATGGAGACAGGTTCGCCTATTGTGCTACCTTGGCCATCTATATCTATCAGGTAACTCATGCTGATTCGCTTTTATTTATTATTAATTTGGGGATATTTGGGGCCACACTCAGTGTGGTCCAACAGGGCTGACACCTGACTCTGCACCCAAGGATCACTTCTGGAGGGGCCCAGAGAACCATGTAGGACACCAGGGATCGAACCCTGGTCTGCAGTGTGCAAGGCAAGCGTTCTACTCCCTATACAAGAACTCCAGCCCCTAAATCACACTGATTGTTTGGGATTTTTAATGTCATCAGGAAGATGGAATGTTTTAGACTTCTCTTTAATTCCCTGCTACCTGTCACATGAAAAGCCCAATGCTTAAGTTTGGTCAAGAATGATGTCTTCAGTCTGCTGCTATGTACCTTATTTTGGCTTGACACATGAAGTTCTTCGAAACGGACTCCATCCTACTAACTTATTTTTGAACTCTTGACTCTGTCATCAGTGTACCTCTTCCCATAAAAGGATCGCTTCAAGAATTTATTTTATCAACAGTGAGCAGGTGCTTTTAAGATTCTTTTCAACTTTACTCCCATATAACTAAATGAATGCATTTGTTTCAAAGCCTTGCTCAATAAAATTTGATCCCAAAAAAAAAGATGTCTTCTCAGTGGAAGTCAGTGGGGGTTTAAAGATCATTTTATTAAAATTATTATTATTATTATTATTATTATTATTATTATTAATAATGTCAATCCTTCAAGTTCCCTAAGTCAATAATGTCAATCCTTCCAGGTCACTAGTCATTCATCTAAACCACAAATGTGAGAAATATTTTAACCCGAGTCTTCTCATTGTCTTCTCTGTTTACAGTCCCTAACTTTCCTTCTTTGAAATCTGCAGTGTCAATCCAAATTTCCCCGGAGAACCTCCTAAGCAGTGCTTAGGCTTCAGGTGCCACTGCTCATGATATGGGACCTGAGGTTGCAGAAGACTTGTCCCAGTAGTGTTGGGGACCAACAGGACCAAAACCACACTCCACAGTGCTCACAGGCCCCTGGAGTTACACCCTAGGGGCCAACCGTGCTGGTCAGCAAGCCAGAGTCAGATGCCCCTAATCCTGGCCCCCAGCTCTTAAATTCTCAGCATTCAGTTGCTCTGCATTCCCTAAGTGCACACCCAGACTTCTGACTGCAAGTTTATAGGTGACCATCTCCCTGTCTATGTCCATCCACCCTGTCCACCAAGCATGCCAAGGAAACAGCATTTTCCCACACTCAAAGTCTCTCTTGCTTTACTTACACTGATGTCCCAGTGAGTTTGCATTGACTGTCAAGAGCTTATTTTCTCAGTGATGAAATCTCAGCTAAGATACATAGCAACTTTTTCTAGTCCACTCTTGCTTTTCAGTGAAGGGACCACACAGCTTTAAGTTCTCTGCATTTCCCCCGTACCCAACATCAGCCTTCCTCATCTCGTAATTCTCAAGTTCCTACTCACTGACACTTAGTAGACATTTACTAATATTTGAATATTGCTTGAATTTCTTGAATCTCAAATATACGAATATTAATGTTCAAATATTTCTTGAATTTTTTTTTGGTTTTGAAACACCAATTGATTCGGTGAGACAGAGAGAGAGAGAGAGAGAGAGAGAGAGAGAGAGAGAGAGAGAGAGAGAGAGAGAGAGAGAAAGAAACTATGGTAGGTAAGGTGTTTACCTTCCATGCAGTCAACCCAGGTTTGATCCCTGACACAGAATATAGTTTTCTGAGTATAGTGGTAGTAATACTCACAGAGCTTCCCAGTGTGACCCAAAAAAGAAAGAAAGAAAGAAAGAAAGAAAGAAAGAAAGAAAGAAAGACAGACTAAATAATTTCAATTTAAAGTTAAAAAATACCACTTTATACTTTTAATCACCAGTGGTTCAATGTTCATTGAAATTTTTAAAGACGATAATTTTAATAACTAAAGCTACCAGTAACTTTTTATAAAAGAGTAGGATGTTATGTAGTACACACCTCAGGATTGTGGATAGACTGGAAAGATAGCACGGGAAGTGAGGTGCTTGCCTGGCATGCAAACCACCCTGGTTGGATTCCTGGACAGCAGATAGTGCCCTGAGCAATGTCAGGGGTTAGGCATCGAGTCCAGAGTCAGAAATCACCCTTGAGCACTGCCGGCATGGTAAAAAAATAAACACAAGCAAACAAAAATAAGATTGTGGAAATATGCAGCAGTCAAATCGTGATTTTCATGTGACATGATTTTTCACTTTCTGTGCCCCCATTAACACAGCAGCGATCTTTCTGTTCCTTTGCTTCCTGTTTACCCCCGTTTTTCACTCTGCATGTACTCCCAAACTTCTGCATAATATCTCCCTTAGTCTTAAGTCTCTATCTTCTTGTCTTTTCTTCTCTCCTAAAGAAGAGGAACTTATCAGGCAAGGCAAACTATTCCTCTAAGGAGTGAGGAAGGTAAGAAACAGTGGATAAAGGCAGAACATGGTTATTTTTTTCCTAATTGCATGTGTCAGGCTTTATGATGACTTTTAATAAATTGAATATTCAGGAAGATCAAGCTAAAATTAGCAGTATGTGCAACCTATCATTTGAGTTTGCATGTCATTTCAGATTGCAGCAGGGTAAAAGTTACTCTGATTTAAAAGTTAGTAGAAATGAACTCAATTGACAGTTCACTTCAGATTATGTTTATACCTTACATCATAGTACACAAATGGAAAATGTCATCATGAACGGTGGCCTTGTTATCAATTTAATTCAAATTACAAAGTATTGTTTTAAATCTGACAATATAAAGTACTGTGAAGTTGATGCTGCATAAATAGAAAATAAAATATTTTCAAAGTGTGTTTAATAAATAATGCCTTGTATTAATGTACAAAATCTGATAGTCTTATAATGATCTGATATGTTATCCAATTTTTATGAACTACTAAATGATTCTTGTGAATGATATTGGAAATTTTCTTTAAATCAGTGAATTATAGTAACTATATAATTTTTACTGTGTACTCTGAAAGTAGCTACTGAGAGCATCTTTCCCTCATAGCAAAGCCTGGCAAGCTGCCTGTGATGTATTCGATATGCCAAAAACAGTAACAACAAGTCTCACAATTTGTTTTGAGGCATTACTGGTGCCCGCTCAAGCAAATCGATGAACAACGGGAGGACAGTTCTACAGTGCTAGTGAAAAACATTGATATCTACTACAACAACTTAGTGCTGATTTTTATCATCGACTCATATGAATTTTTGACTTATATGGTATTTTCTCTATTAGGCGAATTAAATATATTCTCAGTATCTGTACTAGGTAACTAAAATCACTAAATAATTTAAAACCTAATACCGTATTTTTAAAGATATAGTTAAATATTTAAACGGGCCACTTAAAATTATAGTTGCAGCACTGTCTCCAGAGTTATGTCTCATAAAACACTGTGCTCCGGGGGGTCCAGTCAAGCTGGCCAGCAAACCAGAGTAGAGACGTCCTTAGTTCAGGCCCCCAAATCTATTTTAGATTAAAATTCCATTGATGCCAAATTTCTTTAATGATATTTTCATCTATTGTTTAGGAAGATGAAAATATGAAAGAGAAAGCCCTAGGAAATAATCAGATCATTAGAATGAACTGTTATAAAAGAGATATTTATTGCAGTATTATTCATGATAGAAAAATAAAGTGCTTAATGTTAAGCAATAGCATAATAATATTTTTTCAGTATTAACTGAATGTCTTCTATTAGCCAAGCCCAGCATTAGAAGCATTAGAAATGCAACTATCAACAAGTCAGGCAAAAATTCTCACAAGACTCATTTACTTTGTAAGGACTGGGCTGTAAGAATGAGTTAGGCTTGCTCCATAGCTGGAAGCCTGCCTCAGGAGCAAAGGGGAGAAGGCAGCTGGAATAGAGAAGGGATCACTAAGAAAAAGATGGCTGGAGAAATCAGTAGGGATGGGAGATGTATGCAGTAAGTAGATAAAGGACCAAACATGATACCCTCTCAGGGTCTGTATTGCAAACCATAATGCCCAGAAGTAGAGAGAGATTATGGGGAATCATGTCTGCCATGGAGGCAGAGGAAAAGTGGGAAAGGGGGGGTATATCGAGGATATTGGTGGTGCGGAATGTGCACTGGTGGAAGGATGGGTGTTTGATCATTGTGTGATTGTATCCCATACATGAAAGTTTGTAACTATCTCATGGTGATTCAATAAAATTAAAAAAAAAAAAGAAAAAGGAGTTAAGAAATAAACGAATAAGCAAATTCACCAATGAATGTTTCTAGAAGAGATGTGTTCTGCAAGAATGTCAAAACCAATCCTCATGGGGCTGGAGAGACACTGAGGCCAGCCCATAAGACTCTTGTCTTGCACATTGACCCAGGTTCAATCACTATCTCACATCCCCAGAGACTCTCCCAAACCTCACCAGGAGAGATCCCTGGGCACAGAGTCAGGAGTAAGCCCTGAGCCATGCTGAGTGACACCCAAAACAAATTAAAAAAAAAACAGAAAATATGAATCATGGGTTGGGTTCTAGGGAGTATTCTGGAATAGATTTACCAGCACCCTTCTATTAAATGTTTTTAAATGTTTACTTTCTTTAAACCAGGGGTATCTCAATTTAAAAAAATAAATAAAGGAAAAATGGAAGAATACTTTTTAAAAAACCTTGATACATGGGATTTTTCACCTGAGACCTAAGGAGGAAAAGAATAACTCCGAGCAATCAGGAGGCAGAGAACATTTAAGGTTAAGGGAACAGTAAGCGTAATCTTTAAAGCTCAAATGATTTTGCTGTATTAGTAAGTGAAGAAGATCAGAGTGAAGAGAAAGAATGTAGGGTACTGGCTAGGACTGGCAAGATAGTTGTGGTTCATGATCTAGGTCTCTGAAGGGTTTGTTAGTACCTTTAGGACTTTACTATAAGTATAGTTAAAAAAATATTAGTACAAAGAGATGCCATGATTTGAAAAAGTTTTTAATAACATATGAAATGTTCATTCTGTAGTAAAGGTAAAGATACAACAAAATAGCATAGAATCAAAAACAAATTAAATAGTAAAATTAATTAACTAGGTAATGATACATTTATAAAAGGAAAATTTATGTATTATTTCTTTTTTCTGGAGCGATAGCACAGCGGGTAGGGCGTTCACCTTACAAGCGGCCAACAAAGCTGACCCGAGTTCGATTCCTCCACCCCTCTCGGAGAGCCCGGCAAGCTACCGAGAGTATTCGATATGCCAGACACAGTAACAACAAGGTCTCCAATGGAGACGTTACTGGGCCCGCTCGAGCAAATCGACGATCAACGGGAGGGCCTTTACCTTTACCTTTCTTTTTTCTTATTAAGTTTAATAACACAGTATTGCCCATCCCCAAAGCAGAATAAGGTTGGTCTGATGATATCACTGGTCTAGACCCTTAAACATCCTAATACTATAACAAATAATTTTTAAACTACTATTAATTAAGTTTTTATTCAAATATAAATGGAAAATTGAAACCAATCAAAACTCTGAATTTAAATAGAGTGATAGCATAGCGGTAGGGCGTTCGCCTTACAAGCGGCCAACATAGCCGACCCGAGTTCGATTCCTCCGCCCCTCTCGGAGAGCCCGGCAAGCTACCGAGAGTATTTCATATGCCAAACACAGTAACAACAAAGTCTCCAATGGAGACGTTACTGGGCCCGCTCGAGCAAATCGACGATCAATGGGAGGGCCTTTACCTTACTTTTATAGTTACAGAAAATATGGATAAAATTCATTATTATATGTATTTAAATATCCATTTATTCTAATTTTTATGTTTAAATTACTTCTTAATTTTTGAAACTGTCTTTTTTACAGCTAATTTAACTACACCGGAAAGTAAAGCAGGGCTTGAAATGTGTTTGTATCTTGTTATTAGGTGTCATAATTTCCATGAATATAGTTTTTAAAAAGCAGTGTTTCTGCTGTGGGGAATGTATTATCTAAGAAAGAAGTACTGAAACGTTTCATTTATATATTTTTTTAGTTGGATCACCGTTATAATGAATTCAAACTTCACGCAATTATGTCTGAACATAAAAAAACAATCACAGCTCTCTCTTGGTGCCCACATAACCCTGATCTGTTTGCAAGTGGCAGTACCGATAATTTAGTGATCATTTGGAATGTTGCAGAACAAAAGGTCATTGCTAAACTGGACAACACAAAAGGTATATTTATGACGGGGATGTGCTTTTTTTAAACACATACTTTTATTTCAGTAATTTCTGGTCTTAGTATGAGTTCTTTCTTCCTCCTTCTCATCTTCCCTCCCTCTTTCCCAACTCTTCTTCCTCCCTCCCTCCTTCCCATTGTTCTGATCCTCCCTCCTTCTCTTCCTTTCTCCCTCCTATAATCCCTTTTTCTCTGGAGGTTCATTTACCCTGTAATTTAACCTTCAGTTTTTACTTAGGTAAGGTAGAGAGTTTCACTCCACACAAAGGTGTTAGTGAATTTGAGTACCATCACACTATCTAGCATCTTGCCCTATAATGAAGATGAAATTAAATAATCATTTCTTTGTGTTAAATGCTATAATAATTCTCTCTTTTGTTGTTTTGGGGCCATACCTGGCAGTGCTCAGGGCTTCCTCCTGGCTCTGTACTCAGGGATCCGTTCTGGTGGGGTTGGGGAAACCATAACGGGGTGCCAGAGATGGAACCCAGGTCTGCCAGGTGCAAGGCAAGCTCCCTACCCATTGTACTATCTCTGCAGTCATAAATTCAGTCTCTTTGAGCATCAAGATCAGCTCAATTATCAATTAGGATTTTTAAATCTACTATATATTTATTTTCTATATTCAGCTTTTTCTCTAAAAATAATGATTTTAACTGATTAGATTATAATTGAAAGATGCTAACCACTAACTTGATACTGTTTAATATTTCTCCTTAATGCTCTTTTCAGTATGTAAAGCAACAGAATTGATAGTTCATAGGTAATTGTTTTCAAATCTTGATTCTAAAGTAATGACAATGACTTTTAGAACTTCTTGCTGTGTTAGACATATTTGGTATATTTCTTTTTCTTTGTCTTTCAAATTTTATCATGTAGCGATATTGAAATATACACAAAACATAACTATTATATTATAAAATGTTAAAATATTTCTTGAGCAATATTAATTATAAGCTAAAAATAGTATGAACCTCATCCCCAAGTATGTCTATGAGGCACATAATTATTTCCACATGCAATGGCCAGTGACCCACAGTTTTGACAGTGAGTTAAATTTGTTCAAATTCTGAATAAAATATGTTTTAACAGTCTAGTAGTCCACTAATATAAAATTTTTCTTTAAGGTTTTTAAAATATCAATGAGAATTACTTTTGGTACAGAATTATGTAATATAAAAATTGCAAATAATTGCCTCATCCATTTCCTTATGTTTTCTTTTCACCTATTCCTTTGCTAATTAAATTACTAAGGTTAACAGGATTTTCCATTTTTTAAAATATTGACCAGTTTTTGATGTATTTTTATATTTTAAATATATATTTGGGATTAATTTTACAAAACACAATAAATACTTTAAATTCTCCCCATCTTTATGCGAAGTAAGCTGGTGATGCTATACTATGAAATTGTTTTCATGGAATCTAGACAAGGATATTAATTTCAGGATTAAATTTTTTTCTCAAAATGAAAAATACAGTTTAGACAATATATTAATGCAGTATAGAATTTCTCTGCTAATTTGTCATCAAACACCATTTGTTTCGCATCCATTCATAATAGATTTTTTTTTTCAACTGTATGCAATATAATTGATATATATACAGTTAAAAAGACTCATTAGACTCCTATTGTAAAAAAATAATAACTGTGGTATAAATTTTGATACATTTTGCAAACTTTTACTTCCTTGAAAATCTTCAGAGGCAGAGAGTTATGACAGTGGGTAAAGCAATTGCTTTGCACATGGCCGACCCAGGTTCAATCCCCAGGTTCAATCCCCGACCTGTGTATGGTCCCCTGAGAACCACCAAGGAGTGATCCCGAAGTGCAGAATCAGAAGTAATCTCTGAGTACTGTCAGGTGTAGCCCCCAAAACAAAGCAACAACAGTAGAAACATTCAGACATCAATCATTTCCCAATACCATTTCAAAACATCATCTTAGTTTGAAAATAAAAAGTTTTGATATTTTACTTGCAAAAAATATTACGGGCAATTTGGGTTATTTTTATTTTGAATGATTATATTTTAAACAATCTTAGACTCTATTTTGTTCTTTTAGAATCCAGTTTACACAAAATAGAAGTGTGCATTAGCCCACATTGGGCATGAGGTGGCATCCTGAACCTCACCCAGCTGTCTTTACGACTACTGGCTCTTTTCTCAGAGGGACTGTGCAAGCTGTATACAAGACAAGAGCCTTATCTTATTCCTTTGCTATCTCTCCAGCCCCTAAATATTTTTAGGTCAGTATTTGAACTTTCACAACCAGCAATTGAACCTGACTAGATTTTTTATTTCATTATTATTTTCCTAATGTCAAAGTAATCTATTTAAAAACCTAATATTGCTATTAGGGTTTTTTTTAATGCAAAGTCATCAACTTGAAAAGTTCTATAGTTATCCTTTTAGAAAATTAATACTATTGGCAGTGAAAAAGTAATGTGTAACTTTTTCAAAGGATGTGAGAATGAGGATTAAATGAGCTGAACTTGTAGAATGCTCTAGAAGTTCTTGTATAAAATAAGCAGTAGAAGTGTCTTCTGTTATAATTGCATCTTTCTGTCTGCTACCTACCCACTCCTTTTTGCCTTTATTGAAATGTGTGCTTAGAGATCCAGCATCTATATAGCTTTCTTCCAAGTATTTTATCCATAAGTGTCTCATCATTCATTGGCAAAATCTTTCTAAAACTGCTTTTGATTTTAACTAGATATCCCTGTATTCACTCGTTTGTTCAATAAATACTTATTTAGCTCCTACCCCATGGATAACTGTTGGTGCAAACAGAACTTACTGTCAGTGGACAGCGTTTTATTCTGTATGTCCCATACCCTGGGATGCTATTGCTGTTCATTCCACATGTCTCAATGCTACAGATTCTTCAGGGTCTAAAAGTCCATCCAATTTGTTCCCAAGACAGGAGTCTAATGTTCCTAAATATTTTGCACATCAGATCCATTCAAAATCTTGCTTTAAAAGAATTGTTAAAAATAGATTTGGGAGCTTGTTAAAAATAGATTTCGGAGCATTAAATCCCTGTGATCTGATAAACACAGATGATTCTCAAATGATCAATCAGCGGTGTTCAGATTTATCATATTCCTATCTTATATGTAATTGATTTGATCATGATAATAGTGGGAGCATTAAAAATGAACTTTTACAGAACTGAGCATACCAGGGACAGGTGGGGGATGGGGAAAAAGATGTGACTGGAAGACAATGGTGGAAAAGGAGGTTTGAGTAGTTTATATGCATGTAACCCTATCGTTAGATCACAGCGCTTCAAATTTGAAATGATTCTTTTGTATTAGGTGTTACAATTTAAAAGAATTTAAAAAATATTGTTGTATTTTCTGTTAGCATTCATATGAAATAGCTGTTCAGCTATTTTGGGTTACTTCTATTTCATATTTTTGGTTATATGCATTTGATAGATGAACCAACAATTTTAAACAGGTGACATGATTAGTTTCTATGAAGCAGGTACAGACTTGGATCTAAACTACAGTAAGACATGATTGTAGCACTAATTTTGTTATTACTGAACCTCTAGAGTAGCATTTACCTGTTTATGTGTTTATTCCTGTCACATCATTTTATATTTAAGGTTCTTTGCAGCAGGAATTGTATCCCATACTATCTGTACACCTAAAATAGCTAACGTAGATCTTTTGCACAAATACTAAGAGTGTACTTATTGCTTTGGCATATATTTTACTGAAAGAAGTATCTATGAATTTGTCCTAGTATATGAAACATAAGAGGAGTTCTAAACCTCACCTCGGTACCTAATTTTATTATGGTTATTCCCTACGAAAGTTTCCCGTCTTTGGAGTTACCTTCTAAGTCCAATTCCAGAGTCTGAAGGGAACGTGCTTTTGTAATAACAACATGTCCTTGTGTTTTCATTGTTTTTGAATGATACACTGGGTATAATATTTCATGGTGCCCTCCTGCCCCCTAACCTGCCTTCTCTGCTGGATCTATTTGGAATTTCTTACAGGGGTGCCCGCCTCTCTTAGCTGGTGCTGGAATGCAGAGGATGCTGTGGCCTTCGTTTCCCACAGAGGCCCCCTCTTCATCTGGACCATCTCAGGCCCAAACAGCGGTGTGTCTGTGCACAAGGAGGCTCATAGCTTCTTGTCTGACATCTGCATGTTCAGATGGCACCCTCAGAAAAAGGGGAAAGTCGTGTTTGGACATATTGATGGAAGTCTATCAATTTTTCAACCAGGTAAGAATTCAATAAGAACTTTGACATTTTATTTTTCTGAATGTATATAATCTCTTACCTTGGAAGTATAAAGTGACATGTTGAACTTCTAAATTTTAATATAATAGCTAAGCAAATATGACCTAACATTTTGCTGCTTGCAAAAAAAAGTATTTTATGGTAATTTTTACTTATAAAGCTTTATACTTTTGAGTTCCTGTGCACATTATATGTTGAGTTCATAAATATCAGTTCCATAATTTTACTTTCCAAAGTCATTTTTTCAAAAATTTCTGCACATTTCCTAAGAAAATGATCTAAATTTCAGAGGATATATAGCTGTGACATGAAAACAGTTTTTCAAGTAAGAGGGAAAATTATTTTGGAGTAATTTCAGTAGTCTTCATATATTCCAGTGGTATATATCACAAGATACATTATATTAAGCTTATGTCAAACTAATTGGGTGAAAAAATATAAATTAACAGTAAAAAATGTGAAGATTCAAATAAATCCCTAGGAAATGTTTTTTCTAATGTTTAGTAGCACTGTCTGTAGCACTGTCCTCCCATTGTTCATCAATTTGCTCGAGCAGCCACCAGTAACCTCTCCATTGTGAGACTTGTTGTTACTGTTTTTGGCATATCGAATACGCCACGGGGAGCTTGCCAGGTTCTGCCATGAAGGCGGGATATTCTCGGTGTCTTGCCGGGCTCCCCAAGAGGAGTTTAGTAAAAAGGCTTTATATACATAAACCATCTGATTAGGGTCATTTTATCTTAAATGCACTTTAAACAAGACCTATTTATTTATTTTAAACAAGACCTATTTATTTATTTTTAAATTTTCATTTAATATTTTTAATTTTGGAGCCACAGTTGGTGGTGTTCAGGGATCAATCCTGGTAGAGATTATTATTGTATTAGCCTGGCAAGCTACCGAGAGTATCCCGCCTGGGACCCAAGCATTGATTTCCTCCACCTCATTGACCGAATGTCACAAGTGCCCTCCCCCCGACCCCAACCCTCACAGCATTGCTTTTAAACCGTGTCTCAGATAGGTAGATGTAGATATACTTCTTCACTCTTCTCTGCTTTTCTGCATTTCCTCTCTTTTGATGTGAGTACTTAAACGTGGACGAGTTTCCTCTCTTTGTTTTAGAGTTGGATGGGGAGAACCAGAGTTTGCTTTTTGCTTCCTTGAAAATAATTATTCCATCTTCTGCATGGGACACAGACTGCTTTATCATCCTGAAGGCTCGGTCCTAGTGGGCTCATGTCATCCCATTCATCTGCAAATTCCCTTTTCCCAAAAGGGGCACATTCATGGACCAGGGGTTAGAACTTGAGCATCTTCGTGAAGGTAGAGTTCAACCAGTAAGAACCCAGCCTGAGTTTCTTGATCTCATTAGTTCCACGGGATTTTTAGCAAATTAATATGGGTGAAACATTTTAAGTGGTCTCTCTGACTATGTGATTTTTCTTTATATGTTTTACAGTAAGCTAATTTTTGGTATCTCAAGTAAACCCTGCTTTAAAATCTGATATTCCATTTTAAATTTGGGGTTGGAAACTTTGAAACTAATATAGTAAGCCCAGGTTTTTGTTGTGTGCTTCCCCCGCCCCTTTTTCTGACTAGTGACCTCCTTATTCTCTCAATTTATAAGCATCATAAATGGTTCTTTCTCTGTGTAACAATATAGAATTTATGTCCTAATATTTATGACTTAAACCAGTTTATTCCTGGTTCTCTTCGTATATTTGTGTATTTATATGTGTGCATTGGGTGGAGGGAGGACTCGGTTAAGTGGCCTAGCTCAGAACTTCAGAACCAAGAAGTTCTGAACTAGGGTGTGGGTCAGCAGGCCACTCTGAAGACTATACTTTCAAAATCGATTTTATTCTTTTATTTGAAGCACTGTGATTGGCAGTATGGTTAAGGATAGGGTTTCGCTTATACCATATTCTGACACCAACTTCTCCAACAAAATGTCCTCTTCTCTCAAAGTCAACACTTTGAGTCATAATGGGTTGTTTTACTTTTGGTAAGCACATCTCTATCTCTATACTATTGTAACACTGTGAAGGTTTTAGGTGACATTGTTATCTGTCTTATTTATCTCTTTTCTAATAGCTTTTGAGGAACAAAAATATTTAGGGTAGTAGCACTGTCTTGGCAAAGCAAAAGTAATTTCATATAATTTATTATTTGGAAAAAGTTTAATTTCTTTGTGTTCACATACAGTTATGAATTCTGCATACAAATCCCAGGTTTGTAATCCCCATACTATCAGAGATCAGTGTTCAGCGAGGAGAAAATTAATATAATTTTAATTTTTTCTCTGTTTTTGAGAATTTACTTGGTCATTTTCCTTCCTTCCTTCCTTCCTTCCTTCCTTCCTTCCTTCCTTCCTTCCTTCCTTCCTTCCTTCCTTCCTCCCTCCCTCCCTCCCTCCCTCACTCCCTCCCTTCCTTGCTTCCTTCCTTCCTTCTTTGTTTTTAAGCAACATTTTGTGGTACTCAGGGCTTACTCCTGGCTCTGTGCTCAGGGATCACTCTTGATAAGGCTCAGGGGACCATGTGTGTTACCAGGGATAAAACCCCAATTTGCTGCATGCAAGGGCAAGTATCCTATCTGCTCTATGATTTCTCCAGCTCCAGAATTTATTTTCTTTATATTTTAATAGGTAGCAAAAGCCAGAAACATGTCCTGAGACCTGAGTCACTTGAAGGGACCGAAGAAGAGGATCCAATTACAGCCTTGGAATGGGACCCATTATCCACTGATTATCTTCTTGTAGCTAATTTACACTTTGGAATTCGCCTCCTTGATTCAGAGTCACTTTACTGCATAACAACCTTTAATTTCCCCAGTGCAGCGGCTTCTGTCCAATGTTTGGCCTGGGTTCACAGTGCCCCTGGGATGTTTGTAACTGGTGGTAAGTACGCCCTCTTAGCTAAAGATTCTTCCCCTCCCCCTCCCCATTTGTTTTCTACTGTGCTCAGGGATCAGGCCTTAGGGACTTGTATGTGATAAGAATGAAACCTCAGTCAGCTATCTGCAACGCTAGCACCCTACCCACTGTACTATATTTCCAGTCTTACGCATGCATATATTCTCTGTGTCAGAAACCTCTTTACTGGTTCCTTGTGTAAAATGCATGCAACTCACCAATATTATATTTTATTATAGTAAATGTCAGTTGTTCTCTTTTCGGGCTGGAGCGATAGCACAGCAGTAGGGCATTTGCCTTGCAAGCCTCCGGCCCAGCAGAACTAGGTTCGATTCCTTCGCCCCTCTTGGAGAGCCTGAAAGCTACTGAGAGTATCTCACCTGCAGAGCAAAGCTATACCTGACATATAAGATATGCCAAACACAGTAACAACAAGTCTCACAATGGAGATGTTACTGGGCCCGCTCAAGCAAATCGATGAACAATGGGAGGACAGTGCTACAGTGCTACAGTTCTCTTTTCATTAAAATAATGACAAATATAAGGAAGGCTCATATTTTCATGTTTCTGGCAATAAATTGGAGCTCATCAAACATGTTTACACTTATGTTCATGTCTGTGTGTCATACATGTGGAAAAGACAGAGACAGTTCACTTTCAGAGATGTTAGGATAACCATGACAATGGCTAACCAGTAAAAGTTTGTGGTGAACGTGTGCTCTGTTAACCTCACTGATATTTTTACAGGCAGTAATTATGTCTCTCTAGTCAGCCTGGACATTTTACTCGTTGGCTGGACATGAGATTAAAATTCATCACCATAAATTGAAATGATGCAGCTTCATGGTTTTCTAATCATGAAAGAATAAGCAAAGCCAAAAATATGAAAAGTGACAGAGAATGGGAATATGAAAAACTTTTAAATAACTATTAGAAATTAAGTAGCCTCTTTGACCATTTACTTAATGTTAGAGAGTTCTTAAGGGAGAGTACTTTCAGCTACTGGACAAATACTTCCCATATTTGCTTAGTATAAAATAGAAGTCATAGTCCTGTCAACATTTTTAAAAGAAATCCTTTACTTCTTTATATTACACATGAATAAGATTTTTTATAAAAGTTATAGTACCTTGATTGCCTTTAATTTCATAGGATATGATTAGTGATAGACTTAGGAATTTTTAATATACCAATTGTTATTTTTGTTGAGATACATAGAACTCACTGCTTAAAAAATGTTTTGTTCAGTGGTTTTATATTCCTAAAGCTGCACAACCATCACCATTCTCTAATTCCAGAACTTTCCACCATGTCCTTGTCAGTTAACCCTCTGCCCATTATCAGTCACTCTATTAATCCTCTCCATGCCTCTTTTTCAGCATATATTCTGTGTGTACACATGAATTCTGTATACTCCTAGTTTGTATGAATGTTCTGTACATTTCATGTGAATGAAATCATTCAGTATATGGCCTTTTGTAACTGGCTTCTTTGAGTTGGCATACTTTTTTTAAGGATCATTCATATCAGATTATGTTTGAGTACATGGTTGCTTTAAACAGCTTCATAATATTACATTAGACAGATGTGCCAAACTTTTGTTTATCCACTGACAGAAGTTTCAGCAAACTTAATGCAATTTGTTTCCTCATTTTTTCTTTTGATAATCATGCTGTTATGAACATTTGTGGACAAATTTTAGTGTGGACAAATGTTTATATTTCTGTAGGTAATGGAGTATAATTGATGGGTTATTTGTTAATCATTTGAGACACTCAAAGAGTATTTTCTAAAGTAGTTTATTAAAAAGTATTTTTTGAAGGTTTGGGGCTTTATAATTGGCTTTTGCGTAGTATCTGCCTTCAAGTGAGCAAGAGGATTTATGAAGAATAAGAAATATTTAATATTGGGACAGTTTCTGTGGCAAGCCATTTCCTCTAATAAGTGTGTCACTTATAGAGTATTTTCTTGTGACAAAATTGTATTAGTGATCTATTAATGATTTTTGTGGGAGAAAAGCTGCTAAGAAAGCAATCTCACATCCCAAAAACTGGATCAGGGGACAGAGTGATAAAAGGGCAGATGGGGTGTTTGCCTTGCATGCAGCCAACCCGACTTTGATCCCATGTAGTCCTGAGCGTAGGATCTAATGTGGATGGTCCCTGAGCACAGAGCTAGAAGTAAGCCCTGAGCACTTCCAGCTGTGCCCCCTCCTCAGTAAAAAAAATAAAAACTGAAACAATAATGAAACCTATTTAAAGACTGGATATTTCAAACATGCCTTTGATTATATTGTTATACATTTTTTCCTGATTTAACTAGATTCTCAAGTGGGTGTCTTGCGCATTTGGAATGTTTCCAGAACAACACCTATTGACAATTTTAAATTAAAGAAAACAGGATTTCACTGCTTGCATGTACTCAGTTCTCCCCCAAGGAAAAAATGTAAGTAAAAATACCAAAATTTATTATTTTAAAATAGTATCTTTTATGCATTTCACTAAAACATACACATGATACGTGTATTTAAAAAGAAAAAATTTTTAAGTTGCCTCTGGGGACTGGAATAATAGTACAGCTGGTAGGGTACTTGCCTTAATTCCAACCTGGCAGTCCCTGGCACCCTACATATGGTCCCCAAGCACCACCCGGAGTGACCCCTGATCCAGGAGTAATCCCCAAACACCACCACGTTTGGCACCCAATCGAAATCAAACTAAAAAGTTTCCTCTGAAAATATCATGTTAAGGACAACCAGAGATCCATATAATACCTCACATTATATAATTGAACATATCCAAAACCTAGGTTAATTTTGTATGACATTCAAGGATAATAGATAATCTCAAAGTATCTGCATAGGAAAATGAAACAATGATATTGTTAAAAAATAGAAATTTTAGACAGTTTATTTCTTACACCTACTCATTCTAACTCTGTATGATTTATAACAAAATTATAACCTGTTATTCAAATGTCAGTAATATAAGTAACCTCATATTCAAAATAGAAGCACTGAAGCAAATATACCATGCTTGAACACAAATTGTAGATGTTCTACATTTTCCTGAGTTTTTATATGTTTCAAATATTACTCTTCATTGTGTCTATAAATAATAAAAAATAATATATACTTTACTTAATTCTGTTTTTTGGTGTTTGAGCAAAAGACTGGCTGTGCTCAGTGATTACTCCTGGCTCTGTGCTCAACCATCACTGCTGGCAGTGCTCAGGGAACCACAGGGGGTACCAAGGATCGAACCCCAGTTGCTGCATGCCAGACAAATACCTCACCTGCTGTCTTGTCTTTCTGGCCCCAATGACGAATACTTATGCCATCAAAAAGTCTGGAATTTTTGAGAAGGTTTAGAATGAAAATCATTCTTCTCTTTGTTTTGTTTGGGGGTCACACCTGATGGTGCTCAGGGGTTATGCCTGACTCTGTACTCAGGAATCAATCCTAGAGGAGCCTTATGGGATGCCGGGGATCTAACCCAGGTTGACCGTGTGCAAACCTTACATCTTGTACTTTGCTCAGGTATCAAGAATCATTCCTTTTTTTTCCCCTCTGAGCTAATTTTTTTTAATTAAATCACCATGAGATTCAGTTACAAGACTGTTCATGATCTGGTTTCAGTCATACAGTATTCCAACACCCATCCCTCCACCAGTGAAATTTCCCACCACCAACGCCCCCAGTTTCCCTCCCACCACTCCCCTCCTGCCCAACCTGTCTCTATGGCAGGTATTCTCCTTCTTTCTCCGAGATGACAGTTTTTATTTATTTATTTATTTATTTATTTATTTAGGTGTAGGGGGAAGGGTTACATCCATCGATGCTCGGGTTTACTCCTGGCTCTGCACTCAGGAATTATTTCTCATGGTGCTTGGGGGACCATATGGGATGCCAGGGATCAAACCCTGGTCGACTGCTTGCAAGACAAAGTTGCATCTTCATAAATTAAGGGTTGAGGTTTCATTCCAGCATATGGGAAACTCATGTGTATTTACTTATGCCCTGTTTACATTTTAGTTTCTCTCCACTGTCCGACCAAAAATCATTATACATCTTCAACAAGTGAGGCAGTTCCACCTCCGACTTTGACTCAGAACCAATCATTCTCCCTTCCCCCTGGCCATGCAGTTTGCTGTTTTTTGGATGGTGGAGTTGGACTTTATGATTTAGGAGCCAAGAAGTGGGATTTTCTTAGGGACTTGGTATGTCTTCTGGTAATTCTTTCTTTAATATATAATATTATTTAGTGTAACCCCAGAATGTTTTCTTTTGCTTTTCTCTGTGAAACTGGTTGAATATTTGTTTTCTTGAGGGCAGGATTGGGTCTGCTCCCAGATGGTCAGCTGGTTCTCAGGAGATCCTAGGCCCTTCCCTGTGATTCGCCACCAATCTGAGGTGCAATGCAAAGATCTGAGGATGTGATGTTGCTCAAGCTGTGTTGCAAGGGGTTACCAGAACCTCCCTGTGGGTGCCTGGGGGCCTCCTGGGCTGCATTTAGTGATGCTCGGGGACCATGTGGTACCAGGCATCAGATTGAACTGGAATATATGTATGAAATATGTATATTACATAAGTAGAATACATTAATATATTTTATTTATATAATCAATTTATTAATTTTAGCTTATTAATTATATTGATGTATTAATGTCATATAATTAGTATATGAATATCGGTCCATTGTATAATTCTATGTGACATATAATTATATGGGCTGGACAAATAGCACAGCGGGTAGGGCATTTGCCTTGCATGTGGCCGACCAGGCCGACCCAAGTTCAATTCCTCTGCCCCTCTCAGAAAGCCTGGCAAGCTACCGAGAGTATCTTGCCCACATGGCAAAGCCTGGCAAGCTACCCGTGGCGTATTCAATATGCCAAACACAGTAGCAACAAGTCTCACAATGTTACTGGGCCCGCTCAAGCAAATTGATGAACAACGGGAGGACAGTGACAGCGATTTAATTATATATAAAGTTCATTCTAATTTTAGAATACAGATTCTAAAATTCTACAGAATGATAATTCATATATATGTCTAGTGTCCAACCAAAAATCATGATAGATATTCAACTGGAATATTTGAAATATCCAACTAGAAACCAAATCATAATGCAAAAAGAGAAAGTATTCTAAATTCAGACTAAACATGCTAGGAAATTTTGGAAAAAGATTAATTACAACTCAAGAATTCAAGGCCATGATAGATTCTTTTCTCCCCTTGCTTTTTGGGCCACACCTGGCTGTGCTCAGGGCTTATTCCTTGCATGGCACTCGGGGATCACTCCTGGTAGGGCTTAGGAGACCATATAGGATGCTAGGGATTAAACCACATGTAAGGCAAATGCCCTATCCACTGTGTTATCACTCTGCCCCCATATACATTTTTCTTTTTTATGCCAAATTTGGGGTGTTTTTCTGGAGAGTATCTCAGATATTTTAAAGAAAGAAAATTTACATGTTTACAATAAGAGATTTTTCATTTGTTTTTTTCTTCATTATATTTATTCATTTTATTATAAGAATATACTCTAGTAATTCTGAATGGCTCATTGTTAATAAATTAATAGATCATCCTATGTGATAAATGATTAGAAAAGGTATTTTGACTTAAAATGAAAAGTAAGTTGTTTGCATATATGTATATTTAGTTGCTAATTTGAGGAACTATGGCTGAATAAATTCTTAGTCTGCATAAAATACAAAGTTACAAAAATGGGGGGAATTTTTAATTATATCTGTGATTCCAGTTCTGTGAGTTTTTTTTTTTCGTTTTTGGTCACACTTGGTGATGCACAGGGGTTACTCCTGGCTCTGTACTCAGGAATTACTCCTGGTTGTGCTCAGGGGATCATATGGGATTCTGGGAATCGAACCCGGGTCAGCCACATGCAAGGCAAATGCCCTACCTGCTGTGCTATCACTCCAGCCCCTGTGGGCTTTTTTCTATTTTCTATTTCTTTTTTCCTACTCTTCTTTTTCCTTGCTGTTTCCTGTAACAGAATACAAGACACCCAGTTTGCTTGAGTTCTAAAAGGACACTTCCTTTGCCCTACTTAAATGATCAATAAAGACATAAATCCAATTGACAAAGTGAGAGGGGGACATGTCTGTTTCTTTCTTGCCTGAACAATTTTGTATTAATGTTTGGTTAACCATATTAAGTGTATTATCCTGATTATATACAATGGCTTTTTAACAGAAAGCATGAATTTACCCCAGTAGTTGTGACAATCTTATGTTACATTCTTAGGGACACGTGGAAACAATCTTTGACTGCAAATTCAAACCTGATGATCCCAATATTTTAGCAACTGCTTCATTTGATGGCACCATCAAAGTTTGGGATATAAACACATTAACAGCCATATATACTTCCCCGGGTAATGAAGGAGTTATTTATTCTATTTCATGGGCTCCAGGTAAGAATTATTTTATTAAAATTGAGTGTATAGTTATATGAATTCACTATTTTTTTCACATGAATTATCTTTTTCCTCTCAGTGTAATTTTGCTTGAAGTGACTGTACAAGCAAATTTTTTTCAGCTCCATTTTTGTATGGTTTTAGGGATAGATTATGCTTGGTGCAGGCACTTGATTTGAGTCCTTCTACATGATGTAGCAATATTAAAAACCAGCACAAGAAGCTTGCATGATCATGAACAATATCGTTTTAGGAACATTTGTATAGATATGCTTTTAAAGGTATAATACATTTTACCTGATAAAATTTTTTCTTGAGTTTTTTCATAAAGGTAAAGGTAAAGGCCCTCCCGTTGATCGTCGATTTGCTCGAGCGGGCCCAGTAACGTCTCCATTGGAGACTTTGTTGTTACTGTGTCTGGCATATCGAATACTCTCGGTAGCTTGCCGGGCTCTCCGAGAGGGGTGGAGGAATCGAACTCGGGTTGGCCATGTTGGCCGCTTGTAAGGCGAACGCCCTACCGCTGTGCTATCGCTCCAGTTTTTTCATATGAATCAAAAATATATTACTTCCTAAACTTTTTAATACATATTTTTCTCTGCTGGATTATTATACATTCATGAGATATTGTAGATTATAGTACTTTCTACATTCATAAGACTGAGTATAGATTGTAATAGTTTGTGGTCATATAATTCTATAAAAATTCCAATATTTTCTCCATAAAAGTCCAGTAGCACTGCACTGCACTGCACTGTCCTCCCTCCCGTTGTTCATCAATTTGTTCGAGCGGGCCCAGTAACGTCTCCATTGGGAGACTTGTTACTGTGTTTGGCATATCAAATACGTCACGGGTAGCTTGCCAGGCTATGCTGTGCGGGCGAGACACTCTCTCTAGGTAGCTTGCCGGGCTCTCTGAGAAGGGTGGAGGAATCTAACCCGGGTCAGCTGGGCCAGCCGCGTGCAAGGCAAAGGCCCTACTGCTGTGCTATCACTCCAGCCCATAGAAGTCCAGTAGGGGTTATAAACAAAAATAAATCAAAAATTTTTATAATTATCTAGCTTGATAATAGATACATTTATCATAATATTCTTTCTTCATTGACATACATTTGATATTCTTCACTATAAAAATGGAGATTTACTTTGTGAATCTTATCTTTCTTTTTTCCAAAAAATGTTTTTTTGATAAAAATTGCATTTGTGTATAGAATTTACCATAATGTTTGACAATTTTTTTCCTAAGGTGATTTAAATTGTATTGCTGGTGCAACTTCCCGAAATGGTGCTTTCATTTGGGATGTTAAAAAGGGCAAGATGGTACAGCGGTTTAATGAGGTAAGACATATTTATCGCTAAATAACATTATAGCTTTCATTGTTTCTGCTTCCTAATGATTTACTTTATTAAAACATAGTTAATAGGAGTAGAGAGAGGTATTACAGCAGGTAGGATACTTGCCTTGCATGCAGCTGACCCAGGTTCAATCCTGAGCAACCCATATGGTCCCTGAGCCTTGTCAGGAGGAATTCCTTAGCGCAGAGCCAGGAGTAAGCCCTGAGTGTGTCACCAGGTGTCACCAAAAAAAAAAAATAATAATAAAAGTTAATCAGGGCAAGGAAGATGACTTGAATAGTAGGTTACATGCCTAGCAAGCTTGACACCCTGAAATCCATCTTTGCTTCCACACACCCCACACACAGCTTGCTGGTTGTCTGAGCATCGCTGGTATGACTGTACTCATTCCTCCTGCACCCCCAGTAACACTGGGTGGAACCCCAGTTAATCCAATTAATAGGGTAGTTAATATCCATGTGGTTCTGTGTTCTCAGAAAATAATCCAAGATAATTCACCTGCTAAAATGAATTCTGAAGAGTGTAACTTAGTGTGATGTATAGAAATTCACCCAACGAACACAAATGGTTCAAAGAAACTGAATCATCTTCCACAATATCATTTAGGAAAATATTGAATAATTAGAAGGGTAAATTCAGAACAATTCCCAGCTTACAAGAACTATTACTAATTAGCTATTGACAGAAGCAAAATAATTTTATTGCTGTGAACCTAATATTTCAACAATAAACTCCCCTCTTCCTATTTATAGTGGTACAGAACATCGTTTGACTTCTGCTTAACGTTTAACTTTTCATTCATTCATTCATCATCCTGTTATTCATCGATTGCCTCGAGCACGCCCCAGTAACGTCTCTTTCATCCTAGCCCCGAGATTATATTCAAGGCTCTTTAGGAGAATGAGACCCATCATTGTTACTGGTATTTGGCATATTTGGTACGCCACGGGGAGTTTGCCAGACTCTGCCCTGTGGGCAGGCTACATTCGATAGCCTGCAAGTTTGTCCAAAGTAGGAATGAGATACAGAGTTGCAGTAATATTTGGAAAACAAATGTTACCTCAATTTAGTATGTTAAATACAAGGTAAAAGGTAAAAGGTAAAGGCCCTCCCGTTGATCGTCGATTTGCTCGAGCGGGCCCAGTAACGTCTCCATTGGAGACTTTGTTGTTACTGTGTCTGGCATATCGGATACTCTCGGTAGCTTGCCGGGCTCTCCGAGAGGGGCGGAGGAATCGAACTCGGGTCGGCCATGTTGGCCGCTTGTAAGGCGAATGCCCTACCGCTGTGGCAGCGATGGCCGAGTGGTTAAATACAAATGAAGAGGAATATTATTAGAATCTCAGATTGTCTTATTATCCTGAAATTTCATTTATTGAAAATTATTGCTGTTGAAACTGATCAATATAAAACTTGCATGAAATATGTGTGTTTGAGGCTTTGAAATCCTATATAGTATTTATCTTTGTTAGGATCAGGCATCCTTAATATTTGGAGAGGGCTCTAAAGTAATACAGCAACTGTAGTATTTTGGAGGGACTCCCAAGAATGCTTACGAGGTTGAAGGCACCCACTGTTGAGTCTTGGCCAACCCAGTGGCAGTTCAATTCAGAGGCCTGTAGGCATGATATCAAGTCACCCCAATGGTCTTTTCAAGGCCAAGCCCAAGAATGCTGTCCAGGCACTAGGATTGGAGTTGTGGGGTCGGTGAAGGAAGCTCTGAAACCACACCCTATGATCGCAGGGGACTCAATGATGACCAGAATCAAACTCACTGTATTATCTCTGGGCCTCAGCAAGTGTAGTTTGAAGAAAACTTTACAAATTGCTAAAAAACACTTTTGTTCTCCAAGGGAAAATTTGGTGAAAGGTAAAAGGTAAAGGTAAAGGCCCTCCCGTTGATCGTCGATTTGCTCGAGCGGGCCCAGTAACGTCTCCATTGGAGACTTTGTTGTTACTGTGTCTGGCATATCGAATACTCTCGGTATTCGATATGCCAGAAAGGTGAAAGGTGGTAGTTAATATCCTTCCTTCTCTCTGCATAGCAGCAATACTCTCAGATAAGCAACACCCCAACCCTGCCTTCTGGCCTTCCCTATCACCAGGATAACACTCATTCCCTAATACTATTGAGAGTATTAAGGAGGAAGACAAGAAGAAACCTGAAAAGGAAACCTTCGACCTATTTTCATAGTCAAATACTCATTCCCTAATACTATTGAGAGTATTAAGGAGGAAGACAAGAAGAAACCTGAAAAGGAAACCTTCGACCTATTTTCATAGTCAAATACTCATTCCCTAATACTATTGAGAGTATTAAGGAGGAAGACAAGAAGAAACCTGAAAAGGAAACCTTCGACCTATTTTCATAGTCAAATACTCATTCCCTAATACTATTGAGAGTATTAAGGAGGAAGACAAGAAGAAACCTGAAAAGGAAACCTTTGACCTATTTTCAAATGCCTAATTTTTCCTGAGGTGTCACGTCTGTTGATTTCTTTAATGCCATCTTGTCTTGGCATTTTATGACTAAAGTATCTGCCCATGAGTACTAGCGGACACACTGCTAGTCCCAGCAGCCTTGTGTCTTAGCATCAAGGACATGTCTGCCATCGAGTCTTACCTTTCCAAACATTCCCTGCCGGACCTATGATCCATGTTCAATGGGTTCAATCTGTGACAATCAATAGGTAGAGAACTAATAGCTCCAGCTTGACTGAAATATTGACAGAGCTGTAAGGACGTTTCCTAGGAATTTCCTAGGAGCTAGCACAAAGCCCCTGCCCCCTAAATGGAATGAATAAAGAAACTCTTCACTTGCATTCATCTTTATAAATCATCACCTTGACCTCTGTAGAGGTTAAAAAAAAAGCAAGCTTGTGATTAAGGAAAGAAAGACTAAACATGATCTAATTTTACAAATAAGTTAGGAAGAAAATTTGCCTTATCTATGTCCACAAAAAGAAATAAAGCCACCCAATTTATGTCATAAATCTTGATTTTGTTTCTTAAGTGTGACAGTCTGACACTTTATTACAGTGTAGCTTTCTACAACTGACCCCCCAAAATGTCCGTTAGCATCACCAAACATGCGTAGAATGTTAACATGCATCCTAAGTGATGCTTAGAAGTAAATAAATAAGTAATGCTTAGAAGTATAAAAATAAGAGGAAAAAAGTAATGCTTAGAAGTGAATAAATAAGAAAAAAAGAGGTGAATTACTTCTTATTGATAGGTATTTTGAATTTTTTGAAGCATGGGAAAAATGGAATATTCTGCATTGCCTGGAGTCATAAAGATTCCAAGAGAATAGCAACGTGCAGTGGTGATGGCTTCTGGTAAGTGATATGACATTAAATTACATCAAAAAAAGATACACATCTATGGATATAATATGTGTTTGGTAATACTAATGTATCATGATAGCACTGAGATTCTGTTTATATAGCTCTATCAATTGTCATAGGTGTTACTTAAAAACCCGTGTAGATATGTTATGTTGCTACAATATGTCCATCATAAATAACACTGCAATATTATTTAAAAATAAACTCATTTACTTTATGAAGTGAAAATAGTACAGAATTTTAATTTAAAGACCGAATTGTATCAAAGAAACTTCAAGGACATTTTACAAATAAGTAATTTTCATCACCTTTCCCAGCGGATGGTGTTTAGACTGACAAGTTAATGAAGATTTAGCAAGTGCTGTCAAAATCTGTAGAAATTTGTTCATGGTTTTGTAGTAGTATTATTTGTGAAGTCACAGGCAGTCTTTGCAAGGAGGACTAAAATAATGCATATGAGAAATGCCTATTTAAGAAACTAATTAACTCCTCTCACCTTGCATATGTGCTTCAATGATTTGTTAAGTGTCAGAAACATGTAGCTTTGTAAGTAAAAACATATAAAAAGCTGCCTTTGAATAGGAAAAGGTTTTGATGAACTCATGCTATCATGTAACTATGGGTGTGGGCACATGACTCTAGGTGTGGACTCATGTTAAAGACACTCATTGTGATTGCAAAGTATAAAATTTGTCTCCTGCTGGATTATGTTACATTAAGCCCGGTTTTCTCACCCTCATTCTTTATTTCTGTTGAAAATGCAGTAGCTAAAACTAAATATATTTATTAGGAAATTAATCATTTTCATAAGTAGCATTGCCTAAATTAATGGCATTAACAAATTATATAATCCAAATTATATCATTTGAATTCGGTATGATAAGTACATGTGACCAACGTTGTAGTTATGTTGTTTAAAATACAGATTTGGACTGCTAAACTTTGACGTTGGAAATGACTTTTCACTTGAAAAATACTACTAACTAACATGATAGGTAACCAATAAGCAAGATGTAACTGAGTTTTCCTTATTGTTATATAATTAATTTTTCTTTATATGAAAATACAAGGATACTATTTGATAAAAATTGTAATAACCACACGTTTTTAGGCATCTACTATACCACTCCTCAATACATTCAGGAGTTTTGATGTCCTAAAGCTGCCAAAAAGGACCTTTCCCAAATAATTTTAAACTCTAATACTTCTATTTATACTTGATGTATTTTAATATCTAATGCCGTCGACAGCCTTTGCAATGTGGTAACAGGAGAGAAGGGTGCTGAGCTTCTTTTGTACTTAAAGTGTCGGGGATAAAGTGTCCTCAAACTTCTAGCTGTATTAGTTGTATTACTAAAAATATGCCATAAAACATATCAAAATAATGCCAAAACTTAGAAATAAGAAATATATATTAAAAATTACATAATTTGTATTTGGTTTGGTAAATACAAAAACCAACATTGTCCATATGTTGCTTAAAACACAAATTTTGAACTGTTAAATTTTTCAAGTTGGAAACTAAATACACACATTGTTTTAAAATATATAACTAAAATATTTTCTCAATTAGTTTCTATAAAATAAATTACTTAAATATTTGTCACATTAAACTGCTGTATGTATATTATAATTATTATATGACAAATATTCTCATAGCAGGTAATAGTAGAATACTCTTAAATGTTCCTTACACTTCACACACTAGTTCTATACCTGAAATGTTTGTGTCATATATTCTGAAATGTTTATCCTGAAATGTTGAATTATGAACTTTCAAAGTTGTCTCCTGTTGTTATTTCAAACCTAGTTTTAATTGAAACCCTTGAGTAATTTGTTGCTTTTTTTTTAACATGGCATACTTATTTCAGTATCATTCGAACAATTGATGGTAAAGTGCTACACAAATACAAACATCCAGCTGCGGTGTTTGGTTGTGACTGGAGCCAAAACAACAAGTAAGTGATTGGATATAGGTGATATGTGGCTCCAATATTATGTACATTTTCCCCATATATGATTTGCAGCATGATATAAGAAAACTGTAAGCTCCAAATTCGCAACCATGGTGCCTTTATTAAATGCATATTCTAGTATTTAGTAATTATTTGTTGAATATACAAAATGAATTGAAATTTTCCTTATATGTGACTAACAGAATTGTTCTAAATTATTGTAGTATTAACAAGTGTTTGGCCAGTAAAATCAAAATGTGATATTAAGACAGTATGCTTATTAGTTAGAAAATTATTTTTAAAAAATGATGCTTTTGTTCAGATTTACTATCTTTACTACCAATAATAATATATTTTATTTGTTTTAAGTTTTTCTTTTTTCGTGGTATTTTTATATTGCAGTATAACGTTATATAAGTTTCAGATGTGTATAACTGAAAATCAACCTCTGTCCATCACGATCACGACCACCCTGTTGTTCGTCGATTGCCTCGAGCAGGTGCCAGTAACGTCTTCTTCATCCTAGCCCTGAGATTTTTTTTTTTTAAAGTGCCATATTCAAGGCTTTTTCAGGGTTAGGAGAATGAGACCCATCATTGTTACTGGTATTTGGCATATTGGGTATACCACGGGGAGTTTGCCAGACTCTGCCGTGTGGGCATGTTACATTTGGTAGCCTGTCAGTTTGACCAAATTAGGAATGAGATGATAAGATGTCGCGCAGCCGCGAATGCGGCCGCGCGCTTCCGGGAGCTGAGTGTGATGATCTCTGGATCCTGGCCGTTGTTGGAGTTACACGGCAGTTGGTGGGTGTAACTGTCTAGTTACTGGCAGGTCCAGTCCCAAACTGTGCAGGCTTGGAGATCTCAGCCCCGGGTCCCACACACCTGGGTTCCTCTGTCAGTTCTTTTATGCGTGAGGCTCATCCAAGTGTGTGGAGAGTGCTCCCAGCATGGCCTTGGCTGGGCCTCGGTGGTCTTCAGCTGTTGGGCCCTGGTGGAGACAGTCAGGCATAGGGTAGGAGACTCTGTCTTGTTCTCTCCCAGGAGCTGAGTGTGATGATCTCTGGATCCTGGCCGTTGTTGGAGTTACACGGCAGTTGGTGGGTGTAACTGTCTAGTTACTGGCAGGTCCAGTCCCAAACTGTGCAGGCTTGGAGATCTCAGCCCCGGGTCCCACACACCTGGGTTCTTCTGTCAGTTCTTTTATGCGTGAGGCTCATCCAAGTGTGTGGAGAGTGCTCCCAGCATGGCCTTGGCTGGGCCTCGGTGGTCTTCAGCTGTTGGGCCCTGGTGGAGACAGTCAGGCATAGGGTAGGAGACTCTGTCTTGTTCTCTCCCAGGAGCTGAGTGTGATGATCTCTGGATCCTGGCCGTTGTTGGAGTTACACGGCAGTTGGTGGGTGTAACTGTCTAGTTACTGGCAGGTCCAGTCCCAAACTGTGCAGGCTTGGAGATCTCTGTCCTCTGTCCATACTACACTAAATTTACCATTGAAAGTGATGTGTTCTAATTGCTGTATCCATGTCCTCTTAGCATCTCAGATCATTGAAAATCATCCTTAACTTATAAAAGTTTGTTCATAAGATATCTCTTAAGTTTATAATTTGGATGTCTGTATGTACATTCTTTGAATGGCTTTATTTCCAAGATTTCATACATATGTAATATTCTAATATATACATGTACATATTTCTATTACTTAAGATATATTTTTTTTTCACATCCAGAAACTGGCCTATTTTTCATAGGACCTTGGACAGAGATAATTTTCAATTTTACATATTCACATGTGAGTTATAAACTGATTTACTTAATGCATGTTGACTTAAATATAAATATTTAATCCATGTGACAATAGTCAACAAATTAAAGTTTTCGGAAGGGTTTTATTGGATCCAACTTGTGTGCATTTCCAAGTTTATATGATTGAGTAAATATTTCTCAGTGAGAATATCCTGGCACATACAGAATTTCCACATTTCTTTCTAGTCCTAATTTTTTTTAACATCATTTCAATCATTACTATGAAGGTAGAAACTTTTACTTATCTTACTGTCACTTTGCAAAGAATAATCCAGATTATTAAAAGGCTACCGAATGTAACCTGCCCACAAGGCAGAGTCCGGCAAACTCCCCGTGGCGTACCCAATATGCCAAATACCAGTAACAACGATGGGTCTCATACTCCTAAACCTGAAAGAGCCTTGAATATGGCACTTTTTAAAAAAACTCAGGGCTATGATGAAGGAGACGTTACTGGGGCCTGCTCGAGGTAATCGACGAACAACAGGATGGTTGTGATTGTGATTGTGATTAAAAGACTATAGCCACATATTCATTTCTAGAGACTCCTTAGTTATGTGAGACAGATAAGCCACCAAAAAGAATGGAAGCCAGGTCAGTTGACATGCCATCACATGAGGAACCCTGGTGGGAGGGAAGTCTTTCTAAACTTTGGTTGGGAAGCATCGCTTCTTTGTAGCCTTATCACAGAAAAACGTTTCCCAGTTGGTTAGGATGTGTAATACTTGATGGTTTGCTTAAGGTGTAAGCCAATCTCATCAGCCACCATTGGTGGCTCTTCTTAAGATCCTACTGCCTCAAAATATAAAAGAAGTAAGAAATAATTTTAAAGCTTTGAGTCTATAGCTTTTGTTATTTTAACTTGCTGTTGATATTATTCCAGAGACATGATAGCAACTGGCTGTGAAGACAAAAATGTCCGTGTGTATTATGTAGCAACCAGCTCTGATCAACCTTTGAAAGTGTTTAGTGGCCACACCGCCAAAGTCTTCCACGTGCGATGGTCTCCGCTGAGGGAGGGGATTCTCTGCAGTGGCTCTGACGATGGGTATATCGAAGACTCTTTAGGGATCTCATTTTCTAGTCTTTAAAATCATAAACATCATTTATAGTAGCAAATAAGTCATATTTTAAATAATAGTATTTTAAATATAATATTTTATATAAGTAGCACTTTAGCACTGTTCTCTTGTTTTCCTCAATTTGCTTGAGTGGGCACCAGTAACGTCTCACAACAAATTGTGAGACTTGTTGTTACTGTTTTTGGCATATCAAATACGTCATGTGTAGTTTGCCAGGCTTTGCCATGTGGCTATTGCTCCAGCTTTTTTTTTTTGGCTTTTTGGGTCACACCTGGCGTTGCACAGGGGTTACTCCTGGCTCGTGCACTCAGGAATTACTCCTGGCAGTGCTCGGGGAACCATATAGGATGCTGGGAATCGAATCTGGGTTGGCCGCATGCAAGGCAAATACCCTACCTGCTGTGCTATCGCTCCAGCCCCTCCAGCCCATTTTATATAAGTAAATAAGAAAAATTTTAAAGAAGTAGACTATTAGCAAGTAGCAACTTGTATTCAACCAAAAGCATTCTTTCTTTTTTTTTGGCATTACTGAATAGTATTCTCAAAGTCATTTCTATGTCCTAATTTATTTAGCTTACCATGGAATATTTATTGACACTACTAGGACTGGAACGATAGCACAGCGGGTAGATCATTTGCCTTGCATGAGGCCAACCCAGGTTTGATTTCTCCGTTCCTCTCTAAGAGCCTGGCAAGCTTCCGAGAGTATCCTGCCTGCATGGCAGAGCCTGGCAAACTTTCATGGTGTATTCGATATAACAAAAAACAGTAACAACAAGTCTTACAATGGAGATATTACTGGTGCCTACTCGAGCAAATTGATGAACAACAGGACAATGGGACGACAGTGCGACAGTGCTACAATAGCAACAACAGGAATAGTAAAAGGAAATATATATAGGACTAGTTAACTCTAGCCTAGTTAAATGTTCCTTTCTATATGCTATAAAGAGGAGAAAAAATGTATCTTGGAACATAAATGCCTTTGTAATATACTAATAATATCATTGTGTTCTACATCTGTGAAGGGGTAGGTGTTCCAACCTTGTAGGACTGAAACCCAGTCACAACTTTGTAACTGTTTATCTCACAGTGACTCAATAGAAAAGCAGATTTTTAAAAAATGTATTAATACTTTAGACTATAATTTGAATCTTATTTTATGCATAATATTCTTTTATTTCAGTTCTGTTCGAATTTGGGATTATACTCAAGATACGTGCATAAATATTCTGAGCGGCCACACTGCACCAGTGAGGGGATTGATGTGGAATACCGAGATTCCATATCTGCTCATATCTGGCAGCTGGGACTATACTATAAAAGCCTGGGACACTCGAGAAGGGACCTGTCTGGATACGGTATATGACCATGGTGCAGATGTATACGGTAAATTTTTATGGATAGTTATTTCAGTATACTGACAGTGTTTATAATGCATGAGTGATATAGTATTTTTGAAGACTTCAGTGTTTTATTTCAAAATGAGACTTTTCTCATTGGAAGCTCTGTATGTTTTTTATTGAAATATCAGAATGCACCGAAAAACTAATGGAAGATATCATCAAAGTTAAGAGATGATTAATATAATTAACTCTGTGGTATCTGATTCCTGACTGCAAGTGTATTTGTGTTTCTATATACACAGTTGAATCACATATTCCCGTATAGATACTTACTTGCACAGCTTAGATTTTCCTCTGTGCCTTTATTACAGGCACTCACAAATTCCAGCCATAGGTTGAGGAGCAGAATTTTGAATGCTAATTAAAGTGATATAACATACAAATAAATGAAGAATAGAGCCATTTCTTTATTCTTGGTTACTTATGGGGAGTGTTTTGTTTCTGTTTTTAATAAAACATTGAAATGTAATATAATTATCTGAGCATGGTAAATTATATTTCTTTTATCTGCACATCACTTTATTCATTGTAGCACCCATACCTTAATACGAGTCAGTCAGTAGGTTCTGGAGACATTGGTGGGAGGGAGTGTATGCTCGGGTGAAGAGTGTGGTATTGGGACAGTGTTTGCAAGAAACTGTCACAGTAGTGTAAATCATGGAGCCTTCATATAAAAGAGAAGAAATCATTTAAAATAATTTTTAGAGTATAACACCAACATACCATTTTAATCGTATTCTTTGCCGCAGTGTCTTTCCAGTTGAAATAGTGTGGTACTGAATACTGAGGAAAATCCCATTCCTTAATATTCTGAATGGAAAGGTACTTCACTCATCATCTAATAGCATCTCTCCCACTTGCCCTTATTGCCATCTCTCATATTACAGTATGCCTTGTTGGTATTATGATTGGTTGTCTTCTGCTTCATCAACTGAGATTAATATATTAATATATTCACATATAGAGAATAGAATAAGATGTTATTACATGTTTATACTTTCAGTTAAGATAGTGACCTATTTCCTCAAAATTTCAATTCTGTAGTTTTATGAGGTACAATTGAAATGAAAAATCTTTAAATTTTTACAGTCCCAGGAAACATTCTCATGTTCAAGAGCTCATGAATGGCAGTCCTTGGGTGAGGTCAAGAGCGCATGAGAAAAAGACATTAGGAAATTTCTCTTTTTCTGCTCAACCTTAGTTTTCATAAAATTTAGGAATACAATGAAAAATAAGTGGTCAGAGAGTAAAAAATTAAGGATCATTTACCAAACCCAGATAATGCCATTTTAATTTGAGATAAAGTATTATCATTCTGTGAATCTTCTAGTTGTCTATAATCTCATCTTCTAAGCTGATAAAGAACTAAAAAAAAAAGTTTTTTCCACTGTTGCTTCAATTCAAATAGGCTTATTCTTCCCACCAGGGTTAACCTGTCATCCCAGCCGCCCTTTCACGATGGCCTCTTGCTCCCGTGATTCCACAGTGAGACTCTGGTCATTAACACCTTTAATTACGCCTTTATATATAAATATTCTGGCAGACAGATCTTGGGAAGAAATCTTCGGGAACACTGGTATTGAAAATACACATGTATTACATTTTCCTTCACACGCTTATTTTATAAGTGATTTTTTCTCACTGACTTATGTCAATTCTCCAGACTATGCTATTGAACAAGGTACGCCTCCTCTACTGTGTGGTAAAGTGTCAAGAGATATTAAACAAGAAATAGAGAAGTTAACCGGTAATTCTCGAGTGAAGAAACTAAGGTGGTTTTCAGAATGTTTATCAGTGAGTATTATAGCAATTAAACATGAACATTTTTCTCTGAGCCAAATGAATCATTATACCCACTATCATCCTACCACTAAATTGCCTCATCCCAATTCACAAGTCACTCTGAACATAATCTACTTTGGTAACCAAAAGCATGAAATGGCATGTTTATTTTATTAAAATAATTTTATATTTTAATGATGCCATTGTTATTTTTTACCACTGATTTTTAACTTTAAATATTCCTATGTCATAGTTTTGAAGTAACAATCCACTCTGAGGTATGTATTCATTAAATCTGTGTCTCCTCAGCCTCCAGGCGTCAGTGGCAATTTATGGAATTTAGTTGCTGTAATCAAAGGGCAAGACGATAGCTTACTTCCTCATAATTACCGAAAAGGAATAATGCATTTGAAACATCTGATTAAATTTAGAACTGTAAGTATGTAGTGTGATGTCTCAAAAATTTTTTTAAATGACTTTTCTCTATTAAAATAATTTTTTTAAGTTTTCATGATTAAACTTAGAGTTAAAATGAGTGAGAGGGACCATATGGGATGCTGAGAATTGAACCCGGGTTGGCCACATGCAAGGCAAACACCCTACCTGCTGTACTATTGCTCCAGCCCTTCAAGGATAACTTCTGATAGTGCTCAGAAGTAACTATTTCAATAATGGCATTAACATTTAATAGCATTCGATTTAATCTTAACTATATTTTAATAGTTAAGGCAGGCACCTTACCCTCTGTAGTAGAGGGTGCTGGGGATCAAACCTGGGTTGACTATATACAAGGCAAGAGCCTGCCCACACTACTATCTCTCCGGCCCCCGAAACTTACTTTCATAAAGAAGTATAATCACCAACTGAACACATAATGATTTATAAATATTGTCTGGCATCCATGTAAAGCTGTTTCCAGGCAATATTTAAGAGTTAGACAGTAGTTTATTTTTACTCAAGCCCCTTATGTATCTTTTTCACTACTTCTTTACACTTTGTTACTCATTACCTCATGGCTCCTGAACTGTATATCCACAGTGCCTGAGAGTTTTGAGGACAGTGATTTTCAGCCTCTCGAGCAATAGCACAGCAGTAGGGCGTTTGCCTTGCACGCAGCCAACGTGCCGACCTGAGTTCGATTCCTCCGCCCCTCTCCGAAAGCCCGGCAAGCTACCGAGAGTATCTCACCCACATGGCAGAGCCAGGCAAGCTACCCGTAATGTATTCGATATGCCAAACACAGTAACAACAAAGTCTCGAATGGAGACATTACTGGGCCAGCTCGAGCAAATCGATGAACAACAGGAGGACCGTGACCGTGACCGTGCCCTCTTCCTCATCCATACCAAAATATTATGTTTTAAAAACTATGATAGTTTATTAAGAAATAGTAATAATTTGTAAGAATATTTAATTTCCATTATTACATACAGTTAAAGCATGATTTGCTGCAATGCTTTTCTGATCATTTGTTTTTATGACAAAATTTAGGAATATCTGTTTTCTTTTAAACCAGTCTGAAGCCCAAGAGCTAACCACTGTCAAGATGTCTAAATTTGGTGGTGGCATTGGTGCCCCAACTAAAGAGGAGAGACTGAAGGAAGCTGCTGAAATACACTTGAGGCTAGGACAAATTCAGAGATATTGCGAGCTTATGATTGAACTGGGAGAGGTAATGTGAATTTTTATTTATTTATTTGGTGTTGGGGGGGTCACCTGACTCTGCTCAGGGTTCACTCCTGGTTCTGCACTCAGGAATCACTCCTGAGGTGCTCTCGGAACCATATGGGATGTCAGGCAGCTAACATGGTCAGCGGGCCCCTTACCCACTCTGCTGTCTCTCCAGCCCTGATAATGTGACTTAATTACAAAGTAGTCTAAGTATTTGATATGAGCTAGATTTGAAACTTGTTTAATTTCCAGGCCTAATTATACCTGGAATAACTGTTGCCAACAGTTATTGGGAATATATATTACACTAGAAAAGATTTCCAGGCAGGTGGCATCAACAATTCCTTGCGAACCTGCTAGGCACCTATTTTCTATCCCAAATTTATAAAATCAGAAATACTGGGGCTAACTTGATACCAGTATTGCAAACCGTAACACCCAAAGGACAGAGAGAGTAAGAGGGAATGTGCCTGCCTCAGAGACGGGGGTGGGAAGGGGTGGGGGTGGGGGGAGGGATACTGGGAACATTGGTGGTGGAGAATGGGCACTGATGGAGGGGTAGGTACTTGAACATTGTTTGACTGGAACGCAATCACGGAAGCTTGTAAGTCTAAAAAAAAAAAGAAAGTAAAGAATTTTTTGTAAATTGGGGGAAAAAAGTACTAGGGCTAGAACACTACCATCTGCGCTTTTATACTCCCTCCAGGATATTCTCCTGCATGCCAAAGTTTGAAAACCCTTGCCCCAGCCTAGAAGCTGTGATTCCTTAAAAATCATTATGCTGGCTAGTTTAACCACAGAGAATTCACTTACTAACACTATTTCTCACGAATAAATTTCACATTGGCTAGAAGAAAGGTTTCCACTGAGGATCATCTGTTAAAAGATACTCTTAAGGCATATTCTGATTTTTATAAGGACTGAATCATAATAACAAACTTTACCGAAAGTAGGTTAGGGTAAATCTGTGCTTTTAAAATAATTCTGAATGGTGGTATCCGTTGAGAGATGGATCGTAAACAAAATGGAACAAAATTGCAGAGAGAATTCTGATAGATCCTGGTTACTTGGATATATTCAGTAATTTAAAAATTTAAGTTTTTATTTTTCCTGCATGCATACTTTAGTTCAAAAGCTTTTTTGTACCACTGTAAATTGTAGATGCACATGAACTCATTTTATAGATTACTTTAAAAAATACTGTAGCACTGTCCTCCCATTGTTCATTGATTTGCTCAAGCGGGAACTAGTTAACGTCTCCACTGTGAGACTCGTTATTGTTTTTGGCATATTGAATACGCCATGGTAGCTTGCCAGGTTCTGCCATGAGGGTGGGATACTCTCAGTAGCTTGCCTGGCTCTCCAAGAGGGATGCAGGAATCGAACCCGGGTTGACCATGTGCAAGGCAAACTCCCTACCCGCTGTGCTATGGCTCCAGCCCAAAATACTATTCAAAATAGTATTCAAAAATACTAGGCTGGATAATTTTATGATTCCAAAGTATGATGTTAAGAACACACAGATACTATAAAGTAAAATTAAAAAGTTACATTAAAATATGTCATACTTAAATTTAACTTTCCCTTTAATTTTCCCATCCATTAGAGACAATGAGTCACTGCTTGACCTAAAATAATAGAATGTGTGATTTACTAAAAATTGATACAGCATTGCAGACTAAAAAGTAATATAGGAGAAATGTAAAATTTTTACTTGTAAAGAAGTAAAGGTTTGAGGTAAATGTTACTATTTTTAAAGAACATCAAGAACATCAGAATTCTAGGAGAGGCCAGGGATGGGCATCCCTAGAATGCACACCTGACACTCCCCATGCCTCTTTCAAAAAAGCTGGGCCATAGAGAGAGAAGGGGATAAGCTTGTGGCTGTCCCTTGTGCACTTTCCAGCACTGCATCGGGTCCCTGAGCACTGGCAGAAGTGAGACCTGACCACGGAGCCAGGAGGAAGGTATTAGCACCATGAGGTATGGCCCCCAAATCAAACGAAGTCAAGGAGGAAAGGAATAAACACATTCTAATAGAACATTCTTTCTTTGTGCGTACAAAATTTTTTTTTTCTTTTTGGGTCACACCCGGCAATGCACAGGGGTTACTCCTGGCTCTGCCCTCAGGAGTTACTCCTGGCGGTGCTCAGGGGACCATACGGGATGCTGGGAATCGAACCCGGGTTGGCCGCGTGCAAGGCAAACGCCCTACCCGCTGTGCTATCTCTCCAGCCCCTGCATACAAAATTTAAAGTCACTTTTAGTTGGAATAAAAGGTAAATCTACTTTAATAGGTAACACATAAGTAACTTTGTGCATTTACAGTTATGTAGTTTCATCAGTGAATTTAAATAATGTTCAAAAAGCGGTGTTTACAATATTTTAGAAATATGGTTACCCAACAATTGTGTATTGCTTTTTTACAAATAGTTTCTGTTTCTAAAACAGTAATGCATAGAGATTAGAAAATTGTTCCTCTTTTCACTCATAAGCCATGCTTTAACTGAGCTTGAGGGATTCCAAGTTAATTTGATCTACATTTATGTTAGTTTTTATTAAAATTTAGACAAATACATTCTCACAACTTACTTTAGGTTAGCTTTTTTAAGGCATAAATTTAAATAATAAATATTAAAATATATCTAGTTGAAATTTGACTTAATGTCTTCTAATTGCCAATTTCTCTAGCCTTGATTGCAGTAGAATTCTATCATTTTTGGAGAGTTTTTATTAAGATGATATTTTGATTCATTGAATTTCACAATGTTGTATTTTCAGTTTCATTTAATACTTTAGTTTGGAGAGGTCCGTATATTGAAATGACAGTAACAATCATTCTTGATTGAATAATTGACTTCTTTAATATGTTTTGCTAACTTTTAATACATATTTTGGGGGGGTTGGATCATACCTGGTGGTACTCAGGGCTTACTCGTGGCTCTGTATTCAGGAATCACTTTTGGTGGGCTAAGGGGACCCTGTGGGATACCAGGAATTAAAACTAGGTCAGCCATGTGCAAGGCAAGTGCCCTACCCACTGTGCTATCACTCTCGTCTCCATTTTTAAATATTTTAATATGAAGAGAGATATTATCAATTATTAAAGAAAATCAGAATAAGAAAATTTCCAAAAGTGATTAGCAAAAAACAAACACATTAATTAAAATGAAGATATTACTTAATTAAATATAATAGTGATGTAAATTTTCTGTATTTGAATACAAAACATAGAATACCATAGAATAAATTACTTTAGTGTGTTGTAAATGAGTTTATATATTTTCCAAGCCATATGCTGAACTCCTTTCCACACATGCCCACCTTCTTTCTTTTTCTTGTCCTCTTTCAACTACACTTTCAATCTTTAGCTTTGGGATTTTCTTTACTCTTTAATATAATTTACATTTACTTATTCTACTTTAAGTATAATATTTATACCCTGTAAAATTTATGAGCTGGAGTAAAAAAATATTTTTAGAAACTCAAGCACTCTAAAAATTTACATTGTGTGTGTTTGTGTATGTGTATAAAATATAAGTTTATTGAGTTAATGCCATTAGAGAGATGGTTCAAAAAGCTGGAGCACATGCTTTGCACTTGGGAAGCCCAGATTTCATCCTCAGCAGTATATGCCCCTGTGCTCCTAGTACTGTTGACAGTGACTCACTTCTCAAGATAGTGCAATGACATCAGCATGTTTCTGCTCTTACCTTCTTACTAGTGGGACAAAGCCTTGTCAATTGCACCAGGTGTCTCTGTGAAATACTGGAAGAAATTAATGCAGAGGTAAGACAGAGCATTTGTGTCCAAATAGAGTTTTTTAAATGTCTGAAATGAAATAAATATGATGGTACGTTTTGAGATTTCTTTTTATTCTTAGGTTGTCTTATATCATAACTGAAAATCTATCTCGAGCAAATCTTGTGATATGATAACTAAATTAGTTTTGATTTCTTTTGGTAGTCTAATAGTTGGCCTGATAAAGATAGATGAAGGCAGCTTTCTCCTGACAATGGAAATCAGCACCCTGTCATTAGTATTTTATGCTGTTCATATGTGCTATTGAAATATAAGTGATAAGGCTTTTTTTTTCTAAAGACTTAGAAGTTCATAGAATACTAACTCTATGACGCAATCTTCAAAATTTTCATGAAGACTTGAATTGTTGCCACTTCTTCTCTGTGTATACAAATGAGGTTCTGATGATCGAAAAAAAAAATGGTTACCATCGAACAAGCTTAACTAAGACCACTGCCCTAGAATCCCCTAAAGAAACAAGATTTTTTCCTATGGTGTAGTAGTTTCCTAGAGCAGTTATAGCAAAGTACTGAAAACTAAGTGACCTAAGTGACTCAGTACAACAGAAGTTTATTCTATCAGAAATTTAGATGCCACATTCTAAGGCAAAATTTTTGACAGGATTGATTTCTTTTGAAGATTCTAAGAAAACATAAAAGACTCCTTGCTTCTCCCCACATTTTTCATTCTTAATGGCAACTTATAAAATCATTTGGCTGCTAGCTGCATCTCTCCATCCTCTGTGTCGCCTTCACATTGTAGTGTCCCCTGTGTGTCTCTATGTCCACTTTTCCTCTCTTTATAAGGACATCAAAAACATGAGGTTTAGGGTTTACCTTAATTCAGTTTAATCCCATTTTAACTAATGACAGTGGCAAAGATCTTACTTCCAAATAAGTTTACACTTAGAGATTCTATCTGATCATGCTTCAGTTGATCTCTTGAAGGATACAAAAACATAAAGCACAACTCACCATACGAAACAATTCTTTATTTATCAAGCACACATTTAGTTATTGCTCCCTATGTAACACCCACTGTTCAATCAATAAAATACTATTTAATAAATAATAATCTTGCTTCTGTCAATAAAAATGAAACACTTTGACTTTTTTCTTTCATAGGACATGGTTTAGAAAAAAATCAGCTGCAATTCATATGTACAAATCAAAATAAATCAAAGTTTGTCACATTTGAAGCATGGAATCAAGACTGTCCTCAGCAACTACTTTCCCAATGATAAGTTATGCAAGCAGCAAACCCCAACCTCCAAATGATGGGATCCTTATGCTAAGCTCTAAGAATCCCACACACCATCACTGGACAATTGGGAATGTTATTATCCCAGTGAAACCTTAGTATGTTAAATTAGTAAAGGATAATTTATTTCACAAAACTATGTTTCATCCTCAATTAAAAATCAAAACCCAATTTTCTCTTATCCTTTGTTCCACAGTTGGTTTCTACGTAAATTCTAACTTTATTTTAGAGTTCTGAAAATCTGGAGAAATAGATTGGAAGTTTCTAGACCTTCATTTTATGTATATGACAGGGATGAGACTACAACTAAATAGTTGTAACAAAAACCAGGAACACAGGAAAGAAACCAAATGAACACTTTTTTTTTTTTTTTGCTTTTTGGGTCACACTCAGTGTTGCACAGGTGTTATTCCTGGCTCTGCACTCAGGAATTGCTCCTGGTGGTGTTCAGGGTACCATATGGGATGCTGGGAATCGAACCCGGGTCGACTGTGTGCAAGACAAACACCCTACCCACTGTGCTATTGCTCCAGCCTCCTAACTGGACACTCTTAACAATGAGTGGGCCAAAGTATAAACAATGTCTTATATACTCATATAAAGATTAGTGATTGAATTGAAAGATTTAATAGATTATTCTTAGAGGAACCAAAAATTAAACATTAAAGCTAGAATTCACTAGGTTGGTCATTAGGAACTTACGTGGGACTTAGGAAGGGAAAAAGCAACATGGTCAGTTGCAGATAATGTTAGTCACGAAAGGACAGAACTAACCACTGAGTCAGGAACCTCTTTTCCTTTCTTACAGACCTTGCATCATCATTATTTTTAAACTCTTAAGGTCATCTACATTGTTTACATTTTGTTATTATTATATCCTTGTGTTCTAAAAAAATGATTTTTAAAAAGTTGATTTTAAGCTATTTGAACTTAGAGACTAGTCATTGTTATGCTTGCTAACACACTGAAAAGTGTTATGTCTTTAATTGACATACTTATACCACATATGTATTGAACCATCATGCAGACCTAGTTTGTAACTTATTTTCAGTTAAATACATTTCACTCAACTGAGGAAATTACACTGATTTTTAAGACCTGAAATGGTCAACACATTTGGGCTATGAAACTATATAGTGTTCTAAAGGAAAACAGCTATTATTTTTATTATTTTAGAAAACTTTGGTATTGCATTTATGATTGTATTATAAAATGTCTTTTTAAAAGTGACTTTATGCAATCTGTAAATTTTAGATCTCATTCAGAAAAATACAATGTATCTGGGAACACTGAAGTTTGTATACTGTAAAAAAAAAATTCTTATTTTCTTAGGAGAGCTGATCAATTAATCCAGGAAGATAAGGATGATGTTATTCCTTACTGCATAGCTGTTGGTGATGTGAAAAAATTAGTCAATTTTTTTATGTCAAGAGGTCAACTTAAAGAAGCTTTGCTTGTTGCACAGGTATAACCACTAAATGTAGATGGTGCATGCATTTGTGGATAGATTCATAAAGCAGATAAGATTCACTACCAACAACGACACCATCTGTTATTTACAATATCCTCTGTGCCTTGTTTTATAACCACCATGATCTACCTACCTTCAACCCCCACATTTCAATATAATCTTTATTCAATTTTTGCTTTGAACTGAATATGTTTTAAATATTTTTCTTGATTTTCAGGTATTTTTTTTTTTTTTTTTTTGGTGGGAAGGCACATCTGACTGTTCTTAAGGCTTACTTCTGACTCTGTGCTCAGGTGTCACTTCTGGAAGTTCTCTGGGGCCATATGTCGTTCTGAGTTCTGAGGATAGAATCCATCTAAGTACTGTCCACTTGCAAGACAAGACCTTTTGCCATTGTTCTCTTTCTCCAGCCTTTTAGCTTTCTTTTTAAGTACAAGAGCATCTATATAAGAACGTTGTATCTGTTTGATGAACTCTTTCTAGTAAAGCTTCATTTTGACACAGTGGAGTTACTGTTTTCCATTTCTTTAAAAATTGCAGGTTTCCTCCAAATTTCAGTAGAAACCCCAAGCAGGATTTAAGTATAATTTACTGAGAATAGTCTGAATTTTCCAGGTACCAACAAGTAGCTAAAGAATAATTAAAGGTTGCCCTTTATTCCAGGCTGCTTGTGAGGGGAACATGCAAAGCATACATGTCTCTACACCCAAAGGACCTTCATGTTCTGATGAGACCTACAAGGAAGATTTTAATGAGTGAGCAATTTAGTCCTTGTTTAAAGTCAACATTTTTCTGTGTTTGCTTTCCTTCTTTGGAAGGCTGTGTGTTTTATCCTTACATACAGAAGTTTCTTCTCTCAAAGTGTGTTTCTCACCACAGTCCAACTTTTACTACAGTGTGTATCTCAGGGTGAACAGCAGGCACCAAGACACAGTCCATACATCTTTTGATTTGAAGTACGATGCTTTATCATCCTACAAGAATTTTCTACAAGAATTTTCAGTCTTCTACAACACTCTCCATCCATTGCCTCAGTGTCCCTCCCATCTGCCCCAAGGCCCCAGTCTTGAGAAATCTCAGTTCCCTAGACCACTTCCCAGGTTCTATTGAAAACCTATGACACTTTCTACAAATTTCAGAAGTGCAAGACTATATATTTTTTGTGGGCCGGAGCGATAGCATAGCAGATAGGACTTTTGCCTTGCATGCAGCTGACCTGTGCTTGATTTCTCCTCCCCTTTCGGAGAGTCCGACAAGCTACCAAGAGTATTCTGCCTGCACGACAGAGCCTGGCAAGCTCCCCGTGTCAAAGCCTGGCAAGCTACTAGTGACGTATTCAATATTCCAAAACAGTAACAACAAGTCTCACAATGGAGATGTGACTGGTGCCCGCTTGAGCAAATTGATGAACAGCGGGACGACAGTGCTATAGTGCTAAACATTTTTTGTAGTATTATTGTAGAAATACCAGGGATCGAACCCGGGTCGGCTGCGTGTAAGACAAATACCCTATATTATTGCTCCAGCCCCCTCTCACTGTGTTTCCTGGGACTGAAAAAGTTTAAAGATTTTTCATCGTAGTAGACTTTATAAAACTACAGAATTAAAACTTTGAGGAGCTAAGTGAAAGTCCCCAGCTTAATTTAAAGTATAAAAATGTCATAAAATTTTTATTCTGCTCTCTCTATATAAATAGAAAATTGAATAATTATTAAAAATGATTCTAGGTGAAATGTCAAAATTTACTAATAAAGCACAAAAATTTCTAAAAAATGATCATCTACAGAAAAAGATTGGAGAAGAGAAGGTCTGCTGCTATTGGTGGTTCACTCTGAGATAGCATAATAACAGCACGATGACATCATTCATAATCCCATGGCCATAATATTAAAAAATAAATTCAAATGGAAAATTTGGGGAATTTTTGGGGGAATGGGTTGGGGCCACACCTGACAATGCACTGGGGATTATATGTGGTGCCAAGGATTGAATGGGGTAAACTGCATGCAAGGTAAGCACCTTAATCCCACACTATCTTCCAAGCCTAAAATGAGAAAATTTGCATATTGCTTATACCTTTTAAAAATCTGTTAATATACCTTCTTGCTATTCTTTTGGCTCCTGTTATGATGTTGGAAATTTTAGAGCCATCAGCAAGTTAAAAAACATCTCTCTTGGGACGAATGTATTTCTCCTTGGTTCTTATCTTCTATTCTCTGCCATTTCTAAACTTGGCATTTAAAAATGTATACTAATTTTTTTAAGTTCCACTTTAACCAGTATTTCTTCTAAGATTTACTTTCCTCACAGCTTAGTTATAAATTACTCTATGTAAGGGTGCAAAGTTTGAAAGTAAGACCTTACTTCAGTCAGTGGAGTATGCATTTGGGGGATTTACCAGCTTATCCACTAAGAAAAACTTCTCTTGACTTTCCTCCCAAATCAGACTTGAGACCCTAATCAGAGATACCGAAGTAAATCCTATTTGGTACCAGATCTTTATAGAATGCTGTTTAACTCTTGGATGGGATAGTATTTATATAGAATTTATATAGAATTTAATAGAATTTATATAGAATTTAAAATAGAATTTATAAAGAAAGATTTCTCCTTTCTTTCTTCCAAGACTCCTGCACCAAGTGAGTAAAGAACTGGCAGAATGGTATTTTCAGGACGGCCGGGCAGTGATGGCCGCATGTTGCCACCTAGCTGTAGATGATATTGAGGTACGTTTGAAAATATTTGATATGAATGAAAAGCTCTTAAGATGTGCTAAGATATTTGTGGGAGAAAAAACACTTTTCTGTATCAGGTCTGGTTTTCAGACCTAATTGAAAGTCTGAGTAAACTTAATATCTAATAAGCACCCCTGAAACACCCTTTCGTCTCTTCCTCCCTCTTTTCCTCCTTCCCTCTCTTCTTCCTTCCTCCTTCCCTCCCTCCCTTCCTTCTTTTCTTTCTTTCCTTTCTTCCCTCCCTCCCTTCTTTCCTTCTTCCCTCCCTCCCTCCCTTTCTTCTTTCCTTCTTTCCTTTCTTCCCTCCCTCCCTTCTTTCCTTCTTCCCTCCCTCCCTCCCTTTCTTCTTTCCTTCTTTCTTTTCTTCCTCCCTCCCTCCCTCCCTCCCTCCTTCCTTCCTTCCTTCCTTCCTTCCTTCCTTCCTTCCTTCCTTCCTTCCTTCCTTCCTTCCTTCTTGCCTTCCTTTCTTCTTGCCTTCCTTCCTTCCCCCTATTATTTTTACACAAGATACATATTTGTAACAATATGACAAGTAATTCTATCATGTGTGAGAAGCAGCAGTGAGGTCATATGCATTAAGAAGACTTAGCTTGAGTGCCATTTATTTCTCACATTTTCTTTGAGTACATCATTCAACTACTGAGACTCAAATGTCTTCAGCTCTAAAATTAAAAACTGAATACCTTCATTATTTTTTACATATTGTTGTTAGGATTTTTATTAGAGCTAAGACCAATGAAATCCTTTTTTAGTGCTTGTGAATATGTGCACATGTATTATAGTTTTAAGATATTTTCCATTTGGCACACTAATGAAGTACATTTTAAGTTAAAGTATAGATTCTTATTTTCATTTATCCTTAGATAGATTGGTTTTAGGAATCATGATAATCATTGTATAATACTGAAAAAAATATTTCTTATTGAGCAAGCTTGCTATGGCATACCTGATTCGTGGGAATGAACTGGAGTTGGCCGTCTCTGTGGGCACAGTCCTAGGAGATTCTGCCGCAACAGCAACACACTATGCCCTAGAATTATTGGCAAGGAAATGCATGATGATTCCAACATGGTAAGTATTCTTCAATGGAAAGGAAAATTTTATACTGAGTTGTATACTTTTTAAATATTATAAATGAGATTTTCAAAGACATATGTTGGGAGAACATAGACTTATTTATACATATTGATGCATATAAGATAAAATTGTGGGAGGAAATATCAATATGAGACTGAAGTAATGATGAGAACTAACATGGCTCTATAATGAAATTACTGTGATCCGTTCTGAAGCTACCCAGTTGTAACTGCATAATATTAAGCACAGAAGGACTCATCAAAACATTGAATATATAGCACAGATTATCAAGATTACACATTTTCACATATAGATCTGTATACTGTGTTTAGTCTTATGTCTTAGTTTAAGACTTGGAAAATAAAGTCATTTTTTGAATAAATAGTAATAACAAAGATTTCACTGTGAATGTGTAGCGAGCCATTTGCCCCAACTCTGGGAACAGACCCTGGACAGTTCCTGAGTAAACAATGCAATTCTGTTCCCTTCTGAAGAGCACTGTTTATAGGGCAGAGAGTCCTTCACATTGAGACACCTTTAGAAAGGATATATGTCAGACCAGAGTGTTAGTACAGCAGGTAGGGCAATACGTTGCATGTAACTGACCCGGTTTTGTTCTCTGGCACCAAATATAGTACCCTATGCCCCACCATGAGTTCAGTACCAGTAATAAACCCTGAGTACAGTTGTATGTGACCTGAAAATAAAAACAAACAAAAATTATGCTATACACAAAATACATACATATACATAATGTATATATAGTGAATAAGGATAATTTTAGTTTATAAGACTTCAGTAATCCCATTTTTAAAGGATCTGCCTAATCACCTTCTCAAAAGCCCCACCTCCAAAAACCATTGTACTGGGAATGAGGTGTCTTATAAACATGGGGGAAACCAATACTTCCTCTAAATTTTAACCATGCCTTAGTGAATAAGTTCCTTCCCCCCAAGAAAATGTAGTGGGACCTACCATCAGTCTTAGATTTCATTGTATCTAATGCTGCCTAGCCTCTGAAAATACCCAGTTTTCCCTGTAAGGATTATCATAATGGCAGTTACTATAACTTGTCTCCAACCCATCCCAAAGCATGAGATGTGACCTAGCTATTAATTACAAAGGTGACCAACTATATGCTAAAAGCATCATTTCATCTAAATTAAATGAGATCATTTCTTTTTCTTAAAGTGACATTTAAAAAAAAAAAAGACATTAATTTTGAAAGATGGTTTAAAATCTTTCAGCCTGAAATAAATAAAATCTTGGATCTGATTAACTATCTTAGTTCCTTTTGATATAAAATAAACTTCTCTTTCATTGCAAAGAAAGGAAGAGGATTCTGGAGTCTTACAGAGCTCCTTTTTTGAATACCCATTGATGAGTATGCCAGACACTCGGATGAAATTTGAATTTTAAAACACAGGACTGATCAGGTTGATTTGTACAGGAAATCTGCCACTTCATAGCTATTAGTAGTACTCCACAAATTAAAAGAATCAGTACTAAAAGAGGTACATACTCCCAATAGAGTATTCATAATTTTATAAGCCAAGAAAGAGTGTCACTCATCTTTCACAGTTACTGGTAAAAGTTTGCTTCTTGTTTCCTCTTGCCTAATCATGGTATTTATATTTAATTTCTTTTTTAGCTTTCCATCTGTTGGATACAGGTACACTCTAGTTTTATTAAAAAATAGTTTGATTTTTTAATTTATATTTTGATTATTAGTTTACCTAGTCTTAGACGTGCTCATTAACTATTTTTCTTTGTTTCTACTTCACTGAGGATGTCTCCAGGGCTCGGGCACTTGCCTCACTTGTGTGCGGTTGTGCTGTGGTCCCAAGAGGCCTGTACCTTACTGACCAGTAGCAGTAGTCAGACAGAGCATGCGTGGGAGTCCAGAGCCCGGATAACAACTGTCCACAACTGGGGAGGGGAGAGAGCGTATAGCCAAGAGGGCAAGTTTGCCGCAGACGCAGCTAACCCGGGTTTGATCCCGGGCACGATTCTGGGCACCATATATGGTTCCTGGGGTCCCACTAGAAGTGATCCCTGAGCACAGAGCCAGGAGGAAGCCCTGAGCACTGCCACGTGTGGCTCTCCACACCCAAAATAAGACTCACATAATACCAATGAATTATATAAGGTCTAGCACATAGACCATAACTACAAATAATGAGAATTTCAGCCATGCAAATCATCGACTATGTACAAAAATCACTCATGATGTTTAGGTTAAAATCATATAATAAACTGTCGCTTTTGTTTGTTTGGTGGTGGGGCACCCGGTGATTTTCAGTATTCAAATCCTGCTAGACTCAAGGGACATGGGAATGCCTTGAATTGAACCTGGCTTGGCCACATGTATGGCAAGCACCCTGCGCACTGTGCTATCTCTCCACCCCTAAATAAACTGTGTGTGGTGCAAAACAATAGCATTCTCAGCTAAATGAAGCTTCTTGTTTTGATAAAGAAATTTTAGAGTTAGTTCGGTTTATCTGTATCATTATATAATGTATACTATACTGTCTCGGCTCCAATTTATTTCTTTTTAAATGCCTTCTTTTCAAACGTTTGAAATAATTTGTCACATTTATCAAAACTTTGAAAAATTTTAATTTTTAAAAAATAAATTCTTAAAAACTAAATTTTACATTTGCATATTTGTGTGTTAATTTGTACATGAAGTTTAAGAACTGGGAAAACTATCCCAAAGCTTAAATTTAGAACTTTATTAGTATACAGATTATAATGAGCTGATTAATATAATTTCTGTTATTGGCAAACAAGTGTAACATAAATAGAATTATCTTTCAGAAAGCAAGCGTTATAATTCTAAAGAATATCTAAAATTACTTCATTTGATGACAAAATTATTTTATAACAAAGCTAATTGTGAATGCAAAGATTTAGTATAGACTTTTAAAACTTTTGGAATTTTAGAATATATTTTTTATTCGTGCCCTTTATTTTTTATAATTTACATTTATGTGAGTTTCATTGTTAAGTAGGAAATTACTAATTTTCATGTAAATAGGAGAGTGTAGGAGGTATAACAGTCTTTCTTTGAAATCGTTCTAAATGTTAGTTTCAAATTATTTTAATTAAAGTTTCCTCCTTGTTCCATGAATAGGAACTTGGCAGCTGATCTTCTTCTAATGACTCCTAATAATGAACTACAGTTAGTAAAACTTTGTGCTTTTTATCCAGGATGTACAGAAGAGATTAATGATCTTCATGAGAAGGTATGTGGGCAATACTGAATATTCCAGTTTGGAATTCAATGATATGCTATAATTAATTTTAGGTAGCACAAATAGAAGCCCTCACAGAGAGACAAATACGTTTCATTTTAGTAAATACAATAAACATATATTTCAATTTAAAAATATATTCTATGTATTCAATGCAATAAAAATGTATTTAATAAATACAACAAAAAGCAGTAAATAGCACTTAGCATCTACAGATGCTCAAAATCATTTTCAATTTAAATATCTATGTGTATTTCACTCAGTTCTTATGAAACCCATAAAGGCAAAGGTTATTATGCCCATATTGCACATAAAGTAAATTCAGAAGAGGTAAGAACATGCCTGAATGAGTTCATGGTATGAGAACTTCAGCCAATTCTGTCCTAGGAGCTTATATCGCAAAAGCAATGAATGAGTAGAGAGTCAAGATGCCAGTCACCTATCACTGTAGTCCAGCTTGACCAGGGAGGAAATCCACATTGCAAGGATCCAAGCACACAATTCACTTGGCAGTGAAAGGAGGAATGTGATGAACTGCTTGGAAATGATGCAAGATTTAAGTGTAGAGAGATCTGTCCTTCCAGACCCTGGAGTTCCCCCTGCAGTGTCCCTGCCTCAGCAAGGGGAGTGCTGCTTTTGAGGGAAGATCCCCCACTCCCCCTCCCCCCCACCATCCCCCCCCACTGGACAGCACATGTCAAAATCTAGAAAAGACTTTTGAGACTTTGGCAGGGAGCCCAGAATATCTGAGATCATCTTTTTTTCACCATATGCTGTGCCCAAGATCGCAGTGTCCTTTTGATGTGGACTCAGTGCGTCTTGGTGCTTCCCTAGCTTTTATCTCTCCAAGGCAGGCCCTCTACTCAATTGAAATACAAATAGATATTTAAATCGAAAATGATTTAAGCATTTATAGATGCTAAATTCTATGCATTTCTTTTGTTGTGTTTATTAAATATATTTTTGGCACTGAATACATAGAATATATTTTTTAAATACATTGAGATATATATTTGTTGTATTTATTAAAAGACCCTGGGCTGGAGTGATAGCACAGCAGTAGGGCATTTGCCTTGTGCGCAGCCAGCCCAGCCAAGCCAGGTTCAATTCCTCCGCCCCTCTTGGAGAGCCTGGCAAGCTATCAAGAGTATCTCGCCTGCGCGGTAAAGCCTGGCAAGCTACCCATGATGTATTCAATATGCCAAACACAGTAACAACAAGTCTCAAAATGGAGATGTTACTGGGCCCGCTCGAGCAAATTGATGAACAACGGGAGGACAGTGACAGTGACAGTGATTAAAAGACCCTAAATGAAGGCCCACATCCCTGATGTAACTTTTTTAGAGAGAGAAAGAAATTGAGGGATCTCAGTGTTTGATTTTTATAATAATGAAACAACTGGAAGTATGAAACAAATAAATGAATTAATAAATAAATTAGCCATCTTAGTCGTCAGGGCTATTTGTAAAAGAAAAGGAACAAGAGTGAGAAATGTCAAAGAAGAAAATAGATGACCTTAGGGGCCGGAGAGAGTACAGTAGGGCATTTGCCTTGCGTGCAGAATCCCCAGCATCCCATATGGTCCCCTGAGCACTGCCAGGAGAACAGAGTCAGGAATAACCCCTAAACATGGATCAACAGGTGTGGTCCAAACACAAAAAAAGAAGAAGAAATGACTGCAATATATTGTAGATAAGTCTCATCCTGTTATTGTAGATAAACCTCATTTCCAGATTCACATTGATATTTTTTCACAATAGAAGCAAAAGTCCCAGTAGTTTTCAAATGCTGGTAAGACAGAGCATGAAAGTATTTATTTTAAGGGTTGATTTGAAACAAACCAATAAATTTTAACACTAAAACTTTAGAAATAGCAGAAACACCTCAGAAGTTGATATAACAAAAAAAATTTTGGAAAATAAATGGAATCATTGCTTTCTATATCTAGAAATAAAACTTTTGAAGTGCGCTGACACTTCAAGATGCCAAAGTTAAAGTTTTAAAAGTATGTGCATTTTTTTGCCTGTACTTGGAATTATAAATGCATTATTTCAAAGGCCAGAGGAAATTAAATATGATGTAGGGGACATATAAGTGTATGGCTTTTATGATTTTATCATTTAATAAATTTTAACACTGGTGAATTTTATTTATTCTAAAACAACAAATCCCAACATATTTTGCAAACTGACTTTCAGCAAAATGTACTGTAGCTAATTTTAATTTCATAACCAAAATGTTTTACTTTCTTGTCTTTTATTTGTATGACACTATGGTAGCTGTGTGATGAAAAGCTACTAACACTGCAGCTAATATTATTATTAATACTTCCACAATTATATATTTATACAGATTATTGTATTTACATTCATTTTGAGCAACTTCAGTAAGAAAAACATACTGCTATACATATCAAAATATAAATTAGTTATAATGTTTATTCCTGTATATTTTATTGATATCCTCACTAAACCAATTGCTTTTTAGTGCAAGCTTCCCACAGTAGAAGAATGCATGAAGTTAGCTGAGTTAGCTCATGCAGATGGCAATATATTTGAAACTGTAAAGTATTATTTATTAAGTCAAGAACCAGAAAAAGCTCTTCCAATTGGTATTGACTTCATAAAAGGTAAGTTTTGACTTGAATCATTTAAAGTCCATTCATTAATTTGATCTTTTCATTCATATTAGAAATAGGTCTTAAGATCAAGCACGCAGCATCATAAATTTAAAAAGGAGATATTACTATCTGTAGGGATCCAGGAGCACAAAGATTGATAAATAATTGGGATCTAGAAATTAAGATTCAGTGCAGAGCTAGGGAGGAGATAGGGAAGATAGAGAGGGGTGAAAACCCAAGGTCAATCTCTGGTGTCATTTAACTGAGCTCCGGTAGGTGTTGATCACTCATGGGTGTAGAGAGCTCTTGTGATCTCCAAGAAGCTAGCTCTGACCCCATAAAAAACACACAAGTAGACAGAATTGTCCAGAAAAGAATTACCTATATTAAGAATTCAGCCAACACACAGCAGAAATAATATCTGCACTCCGATGTTCAGCGCTATTCACAATTGTCAGATTCTGGAAACAATCTGAGTGACCAAGAACAGACGAATGGATAAAGAAATTATGGTACATCTACATGATTGAATACTATGCAGTGGATAGGAAAAATGAAGTCATTTAATTTGCTCATAAATGGATGGACATGCTGAGTCAGAAGGAGAGGGACAGATAGAGAATGACTGCATTCATTTGTGATATATAAAAATATATTTAGTAGAAGACTAATATCCAAGGTCAGGGAAAACAGGGGCTAGGAGGACTGGCCAATGGTTGTAATCTACCACAAGTGTGTGGGGGCAGAGGATAGGTAAGGTAGAGAAGAGACCAGTATGACAATATGACAATAATAGCTGGGAATGATTATTCTGGTCAAGAACTGAGTGTTAAAAGTAGGTAAGGGGATATACATGATAACCTTTCAGTATTGCCAACCACAATGCCATAAAGGAGAGACAGAGAGAGAGAGAGAGAGAGAGAGAGAGAGAGAGAGAGAGATGCCTGCCATAGAGGCAGGCAGGGAGTGGGGGGTGGGGGCTGATGGGAGGGAACCTGGGGACACTGGTGGTTCTGGGAAGTGTACACAGGTTGGGGTATGGGTGTTGGAACACTGTATGACTGATAGCTAATCATGAACAGCTATGTAAGGTTCTATCTCACAGTGATTCAATAAAAAAAAGAAGAAGAAAAAAATAAACTTAAAGAAAAAAAATAGAATTGGGTCTGCTCTACAAGAAAGGAACAGAAAGAAAGATAGTCAACAGGCTAGAACACGTTGCTTTGCATGCAGATCAAAGTCTATCTCTGGTATCGCATGGTGCTTGAGCACTGCTAGGGTATACCCTGAAGCACTGAATAAGGGCTATCCCCTGTGCAACACTAGATGTGGCCCTCAAACCAAAAAAAAAAAATAAATAACTGATTATATGAACAAGGCTGAATACTATTGTTTAAAAGATCTTTTATCTGGTTTTAATTTTCCAGAATACATTAATAGTTCGAGCTGGACTTTGGATACCATTTACCCTGTTCTGGATCTCCTGAGTTATATTCGTACTGAAAAATTAGTCTTGCATTCATGTACTGAGTGAGTATTTCAATTCCAAAATGTGAAACTAAATCTATGTAATATTTTACCATGGCTCTATTTTTGTTTATATTAATAAAGAAGATAGGTTGGGTCTGGAGAGATTGTACAGCAGGCAAGATGCTTGTGTCTTACACAGCCAAGTCTGGTTCAGTTATGGTCCATATGGTCCCCAGGCCCCACCAAGCATGATCCCTGAACACAAGCGGAGTGTAATCCTTAAACACATAGTTATGACCCCTCCAGAAAAGAAAAGAAAGGAGAGGTAGATGCCTTATTAAAATTAGCTTTATATTTTAGTCTTAATAAAAATATGGATTTCAACTTGAAACATAAATAACAAGTCAGTTTTCCCACTTTTTAATATTATGTGTGTTAGCACATGAATATGTGCACACATACACAATGATTCAATGAGAGCCAGTGCCAAGTTTGAAGATACTTTGAACCTTTTAAGAAAGGAGGGATCAAATCTCTACATATTATATACCAAGTATACTAGGTTGTCAGAAGAACTGAAAATACTAGAATGAAATAAGTAGATATAATTCCTGAATTCAGGTACTGTTTAAGGACATGGTTGCTCATATAATTTATAGCCCCCAGAGAATATTTATGCTTTTTTAATAGAGACTCTGGAATGCCCCCGTGGGAACACTGGTGCAAACAAAGTGCTGTGAAACTTCGAAAAATACATGGACATCCTATGACACTCTTACAGTTTACACAATCTCCCAGGGGAAAATTGCTAAAATGTTATGAAATGAGAAAGTTAGAGAAAAATTATATAAAGAACAAATAAAAACAATGATGAAAATCAAGACGACTTGTGTGTTAGCATAGATATCTGAATGGAAAGCAATGAAAAAAATTCTCTTTGAGTTTAGAAAAATTTCTGTATTTTTTTGTCGTAAATATCCATCCAAATACGCAGATACAAGTGTAATAACAATAACTGAGGATAATGTTCTGTGCCATAGATTTTCAACTGCAAAATTTATATATTGTCTTTTAGAGCGCGAAATGAATTGCTCATATTATGTGGTTATATTGGTGCATTACTGGCAATCAGAAGACAGTACCAGAGCATTGTCCCAGCTCTCTATGAGTACACGAGGTAAAACCAATTTCTGTTCCATTATGAAATTAGAGAAATTCCTGTCGTGAACATGATTAGTCACTAAAGTATCACAGAAGGCACCAGGGTCGATATTGCAGGCATTCACTTATTCTCTCAGCATATGTTTTCAAGCATTGATAATTATGTGAAGCAGAAGTGAATTAGGCTTAATAATAGAAATCCCAATTCTAGCTTAAATGCGGGTTTGTTGTTCTTATGTGGATACACTTGGGATGGGGCTTTGCAGGACTATTCCATCATAAGTCTAGATTATTCCCACGATTCTAACATTCTTGGCATCTTTTCCTCTTGCTTGAGTTACCCATAGTTCCTAGAAATTTCTATTATGTCCATTTCTAAGCAGAATGGACAGAGAAGAGTGGGTGGTAGAGATCATTACTGAGCTTTTCTTGACAAGACCTTGTGATTCCAGAAAGAAAGTTCATTTTTTAGGGCTTGTATGCCTACACCTCACTATGCAGATATGTGAGAATCTGATTTTAGTAGATGAGAAACCGAGTATTTCTGTCTAGGGTAAGAGAAAAACAGAATAAAAGGGATTTTTGAATAGCAGAAAACTCACTATATTACTTTCAGGTTAAACTTACACGCAGAACTTCTACATTATCTAACAGTTGGCCAAATTTCAGTCATTAAAATATGATATTTTTTAATAAAATCTAGTTTCTTTGTTTAATAAAAAACAACCACATTTCTAAGTCTACTAGTGTGCTAAGTTATATTGTAGGTAAATGACAAAAAATGCTGAGTGTATGGATGGATAAGCTTTTACCCCATTCTGTAACATTTCTGAGAGAAACAAAGTACTTTCATGCCAAACTTCTGCCTTTTACAGAGGTGAAGGAAGAACTGGGTCACATCAGAGTAGAATTAACACCAGCAGAACACTCGAGGGGATATCTCCTCTGCAGACATTGTAAGCAAAATGTAAAGGCAACTTTTAGCAATATGAAGAGATATGAAAGAATAATCAGACTTAGTGTATAGAATTAAAATATTACTCAGTGACCTATTTGACTATATGCAATAATGAAGAAGAGAGAAGAAATAGTCACTTTTAATATCATTGAGAATAAATGACTTAAGGTGAGAGAAATGAAAGAATGTCTAAATTAAAGAAAATATGAATTTAGATTGAGCAACTTAAGAACTCCCTCATTTTAAAAGCTTCTCAACGAAATACATCCTTGTTGTCTTGCCTTACATATTGTATTTCCCTGAAGTTTTGTTATTCCTGAAGTGTATTTTTCTCTTTTCCCCACTCCCACAGTGCACTTCCTGCCTCTTTAGTCCTCATCTCTCCTCTCTGTTCCATCCTTCAGAAAGCTCCCCCTCTTTCCTAGCTTCACTGTCACCTCTTTGGGGATAACTAACTTCAATCTTCAGGCATTGCCTGCTCTCAGTCCCAGTTGTGTCTCTTGTCCAGCTTGCTAGACTCGTGCCTTAAATCTGCAAAGATACTTCTTTGCGTTTTGGATCATGATGTTTCTGTTACCCAAAATTAAATGATCAGGGACATTATTTCATGTTGATGTCCTCAGCATCAGCGTCCAATTATTTTAGGAAATTCCTGTATCCCATGTTTTTTTCATTTCCAGAACCTCAATAGCCCTGGTGCTTGGTTGTCACCCATCAGAGTCCTCCATCTCTCTGTTTTGTTATCTCTCAGTTAGTGCATTCTCCATTCTAAACAGCCTTGTGTTGGGATTTCTTAAACACTGCCCTTCCTAAATATTTTCCAGACTCCTAGTCACCTACCAGACAACATTCTGAAGCCAAAATCAAATGTGAACATTTCCCATTTATTACTCCCCGTAGTTTTTTCTATTTCTCTACTCCAGCCAAACTGAATTATTTAAGTATCTGTGTTATACATGAGTTTTTTCTGGGGATGTTTTTCTGGATTTTTTCTGGGCTGGAGTGACAGCACAGCGGGTAGAGTGTTTGCCTTGCACGTGACCTACCTGGGTTCGATTCCTCCATCCTTCTCGGAGAGCCCGGCAAACTACCAAGAGTATTCCGCCCTCATGGCAGAGCCTGGCAAGCTCCCCGTGGCATATTCCATATGCCAAAAACAGTAACAACAGGTCTCACAATGGAGATATTACTGGTGCCCACTTAAGCAAATTGATGAACAATGGGAGGACAGTGCTATAGTTTTTTTGGTGTTCTCTCTCAACTGATTTTTCTTTAATTTCCTCTCAAATTTTAATCCTTTCTAGGCCATCAAAAACTGTAAGACAGATCAATTACTTCCCAATTGCAAATTTGTTGATAAGGAAGCCATATTATCTAAGGATTTCACTTTGGCACTGGCCACACAGTTAACACAGAATTTTAAAATTTATTATTTAAGCCTTCTTTTTAAAAGGTAATAATTATTTGGGATAGTATGAAACAAATTTAAATGTGGTTGTGTGAAGGAGGGAGGGTCTGAATTCTCACCAATTCTTACAGCCCAGCACAATTAAAACCAAGAGTGACCATAGTTATAAACTACAGAAGCCAGAGAGATTGTACAGGAATTAAGGTGCTTGCTTTGCACGTGACTGAACCCAGTTGGTTCCCAGCACATATGTCCCCTTATCTGCATCCAGAGTCATCCCTGAGCACAGGCAGTAGTAAGACCTGAGTGAGCACCATAAGAAGATACCATCTCACACCTCAGAGACTGGCCCACATTCAAAAGAACAAAAGCAACCGATGCTGGCGTGGATGTGGCGAGAAAGGGACACTCCTTCACTGTTGGTGGGAATGTCCACTGGTTCAGCCCTTCTGGAAAACAGTATGGACGATTCTCAAAAAATTAGAAATTGAGCTCCCATTTGACCCAGCAATACCACTCCTGGGAATATATCCCAGAGAGGCAAAAATGTATAGTCGAAGTGACATCTGCACTTGTTTGTTCATTGCAGCCCTCTTTACAATAGCCAGAAACTGGAAGAAACCTGAATGCCCAAGAACAGATGACTGGTTAAAGAAACTTTGGTACATCTACACAATGGAGTACTATGTAGCTCTTAGAAAAGATGAAGTCATGAAATTTACATACAAGTGGTACAATATGGAAAGTATCATGCTAAGCGAAATGAGTCAGAAAGAGAGGGATAGACATAGAAAGATTGCATTCATCTGGGGGATATAAAGTAACAAAGTATGAGATTAATACACAAGAATAGCTGAGATCAGCACCAGGAGGATTACTCCATAACTTAGAGGCCAGCCGTGTATCCTAGAGGAAAGGGCTATTCAGATAGAGAAGGGAGCACCAAATAAAGGATGTTTGGAGGATCCTCCCAGGAGGGGAGATGCATGTCGAAAGTAGACTATGGACTGAACATGTTTGCCACTCAATGCCTCTTTTGCAGACCACAACACCCAAAAGGAGAGAGAGAACACAGGGGATTGCCCTGCCACAGAGACGGGGGGATGGGGGGATGGGGGTGGGAGGGATATTATCCATGGTGGTGGAAAATGGGCACTGGTGGAGGGATGGGTATCTGATCATTGTATAATTGAAACCAAAGCACAAAAAATTGTAAATGTACAACTTTAAAAAAAATAAAATAAAATAAAGGGAAAAAAAAAAAAAAAAAAAAGAAGTGACCCAAACACCACCCCCACTTGAAGTAGTTTACAGAAATGCTTTTACTTTTAATTTATCCTGAAGTTCTTAGGTACTTTTTAATTTCTAAACAGCCTTTTTCAAAACTTCAAATAACTTCCTTAACGTGAACCACATTTGTAATGTCTTATAGCAATGAGAACTAGTATCTTTTTATCTAAATCCCATGAATCTTGTTTCCAACTCTCTACACACAACTCTGATAGTTTACTGCTGGCGTACATTCTTAGTGTTCACTCACTTGCGTTCTTACCCTTAACATGCATTTTAATTTAATTTTTTTTTTTTTAGTGAGGTAGCACTGTAGCACTGTCCTCCCATTGTTCATCGATTTGCTTGAGCAGGCACCAGTAATGTCTCTGTTGTTGGACTTGTTACTATTTTTGGCATATCAAATATGCCACAGGGAGCTTGTCAGGCTTTGCTATGCAGGTGGAATACTCTCCGTTCTCTGAGAGGGATTCAGGAATTGAACCCCCGTTGGCCGTGTGCAAGGCAAACACATTACCCACTGTGCTATCGCTCCAGCCCAAATTTTTTTCTATTTTTGACTTTTGTCATTGTCACTGTCCTCCTGTTGTTGATCAATTTTCTCGAGAAAGCCCAGTAACGTCTCCATTGTGAGACTTTGTTGTTACTGTGTTTGGCATATCAAATACGTCACGGGTAGCTTGCCAGGCTTTGCCGTGCGGGTGAGATACTCTCGGTAGCTTGCCGGGCTCTCCGAGAGGGGCGGAGGAATTGAACTCGTGTTGGCCATGTTGGCTGCGTGCAAGGCAAATGCCCTACCCACTGTGCTATTTTAATTTTTTTTTTTTTTGGCTTTTTGGATCATACCCAGCGACACTCAGGGGTTACTCCTAGCTCTGCACACAGAATTTACTCCTGGAAGTACTCAGGGGACCATATGGGATACCCAGGATCGAACCCAGGTCAGCCATGTGCAAGGCAAACGCCTTTCCTGCTGTACTATCACTCTGGCCCCTTAATGAGGTAAAATAGTTTTATTGAAAGAAAATTTTTTAGAGAAATGTAAGGGGAGAGAAATAGAGAATACAAGGACTTCTTTAGAAGGAAAAATATACCTAATATGCAGTTATAATATAGATACTATTTATGTCTGACAGTAACCATATATAGCTACTAGTCAACCTAGCTCGGCCTGTCTGACCATTCCTTATACACTACGTAGTTTATTCACCTGTTCACTCACTCAGACTGTTAAAAAAACCATTATTTATTAAGCATCATTGACTTTTCAGAGATTTAAATGCTAAATATGCAGGTGAGTATATATATATATATGTATGTATATACATACATATATATATATATATATACATACACACACACACACGGGCTGGAGCAATAGCACAGTGGTGGGGTGTTTGCCTTGCACGCAGTCAACATGGCCGACCCGAGTTCGATTCCTCCGCCCCTCTCAGAGAGCTGGCAAGCTACCGAGAGTATCTCGCTCTAGTGGCAGAGCCTGGCAAGCTACCCGTGACGTATTCGATATGCCAAACACAGTAACAACAACAACAAAAAGTCTCCAATGGAGATGTTACTGGGCCCGCTAGAGCAAATCGATGAACAATGGGAGGACAGTGATATACACACACATATGTGTATGTATGTGCACGCACATACATGTATGAAAGTATAAACCCATCTGTACACATGTTCATGCACACATATAGTTTTTAACAAAAATTATTATACCTAAAATTGTACCTATCCATAATATGTTGCGTGTTTTATGTGTTAGTCTTTTGTTTCAGGTACTAATTTCTCCCTCTCATCTCAGTCAGTTATTAAAACGTCGGGAGGTGTCAGTACCATTAAAAATTGAACATCTTTCTGAGGAATTGGATGCATGGAGAGCTTGTACACAGTCCCCTGAAAGGTAAGTGATTCTGATAAAAAAAAATTAGAGTACAGAAGGTGTTAATATTATACATAAAATTGAAAAGGTACCATGTGTCATTATTGATTTCAGTTGAACAATGAATCTACTTATTCAGTATATATTCAATAACAGTTTACTATATTGTTATTATTCCCTGCCTTTGGAAAATCCTTTGCAAATTTAAAGTTGATATGCTGCCATTTATTAAGGGGAGTAAATATTTCTGCCTAAATAATCACTGGGGACATTTCTAAACCAAAGCTTAATAATTCAGTGATTTCATAAAAGTAAAATTGTGACATCTCTTGAAAATATAGGTCATCAGGAGACTCTCCAGGTACACCCCCTTCTAATTCACAAAGATTGCTATATGCCACTTTATTAAAGAGACTGCAGGAAGAGCCACTCAGGGAAATTGTCGGACCAGACTATGTCACCGGGTCGAATCTTCCAAGTCATTCCGATATTCACATCTCTTGTCTTACAGGATTAAAAATCCAGGTACAGCCTAATGTCAGGAACAAATTGTAAATGTTTCTTTTCATATTTTCTTCAAAGAATCATCTGATTAAAATAAGTACCTTATAGAGAAGCTTATTGCCCGTACTGCCTCTAGTTCATATTGCCCATACTGCCTCTAGGTCAGTCTCCTTTAAATGTAGAATGATAGTCCTTCTACTATTATCATAAAGTAATTCATGTAATAGATGTACTTTGTAACCAACTTTGTGTCCAAATATTGGTAACAAATATTCTTTAAGTCACACAGAGATCACATCCTGAGGGAAATTAAATAAGTGAAAGAAATAAATACTCAATAAGTTATGAATTATCTCAATAGATTGATTTAACTGTAAAGCCCCCTTTTATGTTCTTTAAACACAAAGTTATAACCTGAAAAATGTTTGTTATTAATGTATTATGAATATTCTTGCATTGGCTTAACTAAACTTTTCCAGCTATTAAAAATTATTGAGATCAGTCTTAAGGACTGGATAATTCCCAAGAATTGTTCTCTGATGTACAATCAAAGTAATAATGATGAGTAATGATGCTAGAACCTTGCAATATGACCCAGGGGTTCCATTATCTGGAGAATATAAGGCAGCTTTCATTATCTCAGAGCCAAGAGCAGTTATATGAGTGCCCATGAAGTTAATAAAGTTGAATATCCATGAAATGCTCATTGAGACTATAGATTTGGACTAAGACTACCTTTCAAAAATGTGCATCCTTTACTGAGCTGACTTTTATATTTCTAAGTAATATGTTTTGTTCTAAAAATAAGTTGCCCAAAATTGCAAACCCTAACTATACCTTTATTTGACGTTGCAAACCAATACATTCCAAAATACAGACTGAGCACATGCTTATATTTATGTTTATTATTGACTTGTATTCAAAATAAGAACCAAAGCAGGAAATTCAATAGCTTGTACATAATAGCACACACACAAAAATGCAAAACAAAAAATAATCACATTTTCAGTTCAAGAATTTATCTGCAGTAACATTTTGACCTCACTGACACACGTCTACATGTCTAGCACTTGGGCCCTTCTTTTTCTGTTGTTCTTTTCCAGTTTCTTCCATCTGTTATAGTCAAATGGTTAAGATGTGCTATCTGTTAGCACTTAACCTCTCAGCATCCAAAGTGAGGTGAAGAAATAATCCAGAGCTAGAGCTAGTATCGAGTGCTTCCTTCTGACACTGGTTTGAATCCCCGGCACCGCATATGGTCCATCAGACACCACAAGGGGTCACTCCTGATCACAGAGCAAGGCCTCTGAGCAGGCCAGATGCTGCCCAAACCCCACCATGCCCCCACACCCCAAAAAAGAGAGGGAGAAAAGCATCTGCTAATTTTCTAATGTACACTAAAAGTGCATAATTAAGAGGAAGTACCAGCCTTCCTGGATACTTTTATTTCACCAGAAATTTAATGTGTTCTGGTTCAGAAATTTAATGTGTTCTGGTTCTAACTCCATGTCCATTTCAAATATCTATGAATCAGAAGCTATGTACTTCATGACAGTTTTCAATGTATAGAAATAATTTCTATCAAAAAGCTGTATATTGAAACATAATAACTTTATAGAAAATTTAAATAATATTTTTATTTCATTTTAAACTTGGTTATTCCTTCAAACACCAGAAAAATATAAATATAGGTTGGAAGGGTTTTTTTTGTTTTGTTTTTTGTTTTGTTTTTACTTTTAGTTCTCCTATCCAGGGCTGAAACGGTAGCACAGCAGTAGGGTGTTTGCCTTGCATGCAGCCAGCCCGGACGAGCCAGTTTTGATTCCTCTGCCCCTCTCAGAGAGCCCAGCAAGCTACCGAGAGTGTCTTGCCTGCACGGCAAAGCCTGGCAAGCTCCCCATGATCTATTCAATATGCCAAACACAGTAACAAGTCTCAAAATGAAGACATTACTGGGCCCGCTCGAGAAAATCGATGAACAACGGGAGGACAGTGGCAGTGACAGTGATATAATTAAATGACAAATACACTAGTAAGTCATATGGTTAATATGATTTTAAGTTACATGCATACACATATTCAGTAGTATATTTTTCACCTCGTGGAGAACAGATTCTGGCTTTTAAAAAATTAAATAACTTCCCTAGCTGTATTGACGTAGACCATGTGATTTAGACTATTTCAGGTCATACCTACTGTTATCAATGACTTAAAGTTGAATTAACTGTGGAAATTAATAGTTGAGCATTAACAGTTCTCATGGATAGCACTGGTATTTTAAATTTATGAAACTGAATTCTATCTTGAAAGACATAAAGGCGCACTTTAATGTTTCTACAAACTGTGGTCTTTCAAAGTGCATAGTTTTTCCTCATTTTAAAATTTGCTATTTGTTTTGCATACATAGCACCACTTTACTGTATTGTTTCTCTGGGAGTTTAAAAGCATGCTGTGAATCTATAATCTGATTTTTCCCTCACCTCCCACTGTTTACAGGGCCCTGTATTTTTCCTTGAAGATGGGAAGTCTGCTATCTCACTGAATGATGCTTTGATGTGGGCAAAGGTGAATCCATTCTCACCTTTAGGGACTGGAGTTCGACTCAATCCTTTTTGATAGAAGTTTTTCACCTTCATGCTTAATTATTTTTGTAAAGAAGTACTTTTAAGGGTTAGTATTCGCTTATCCTTTGTTGCCTAAAGCCAAAGGTTGGAAGAAGGAGGGAGGGAGGTGGGGAATATCCCATGATTTTATTCATTAACTTCAAGAAATAAAATATTTATATTATTTCAAGAAAATTATGTGTCTCCTTTATAAAATTTAGTAGCTCTATTTGGAAGGAAGGTAATATTTAAATTCTAAAAGACTGAATATTCTAAAATACTCAATAAATCATAAAAGATACCAAGATGTAATTTTTTTAACCTTTGAAATATATAAAAGACTGCAACACCTAGAATTATGCTTAACATGCAGTACATATCTAGGGAAAATTTGAATGAATGGTTATATCTAAATAAGCAAATATTTGAGTGAATGGATTGAATGAATGAATATATCAGGATATCAAAATATTAGGAATATCCAAGTAAACCTTAAGTTAACACCTATCTTGTTCTTTATAAAATACATAATAAACATCATTTTTAGCTTATAATTAATAAATTTTCAAGCTTAGTGATATGCATATCTCAGTTGTTTTGAACCAAGCAGCATTACTGATTGGCATAGATGAACTCCAATCTCGTTTTAAAATGGCCATCTAGGAGACCAGTGCCATAGTACAACAGATAGGGTGTTTGCCTTGCAGGGAATAGACCTGGGTTTGATTCCCAAATCCCATACGGTCTCCAGAGTATTGCCAGGAGTAAATCCTTACTGCAGAGCCAGGAGTAGCCTGTGACAACTGTCGGGTATGACCCAAAGAGCCAAATAAATAAATAAGGTAATAAGATAAAATGGCCATTTAGGGCCCAGGATGTGTCTCAGTGGCAAAATACTTACCTTGAACAAATGACCAGGCAGTCACTGTCACTGTCCTCCCGATGTTCATCAATTTCCTCGAACGGGCCCAGTAACATTTTGAGACTTATTACTGTGTTTGGCATATCGAATACGTCACAGGTAGACTGCCAGGCTTTGCAGTAGTAAAATTAAAAATGCGAAAAGTGACCATCTGACTCCTCTTTCTTTTTTCCCTGAGAAGCCTCCCCTTTGCCCTTCAAGAATGCCCTCAGAAAGACGAAAGAAGCAGCAGTGTGCTTGCCTTGCACATTGCCAATCCAGCTTTGATGCCCAGCACGCAGTATGGAATCCCACCAGGAGTGACCCCTGAGCTCAGAGCCAGGAGCTAGCCCTGAGCACAGCTGCGAGTGACCCAAAAAGCAAACAGAAAAATACCCTGAAGAACTTCAAAAGATATTGTTAAATTTATTCATATATATCAAATAATTGTTATCTTCTCTTTGTATATTTACTGAATCTAAGAAAATGATATTTTATATCATTATATCATTTTATATCATTTTCTGTATAGATAGAAAAATAATATAGCTTTTGGGGGAGCCCTGGAGTTCTGGGGAGCGGTTGAACCCAGGCCTCATACCTGTAAGATGTGCAGTCCACCTCAGTCACATGCCTGACACTGTCCCTTTGTATGGAAACAGATGAGCAGCCCTGCACTGGCTAGGCTGAATGGGGTGGATTCAATGGCGTGGTCACTCTCCTTTGACTTCTATCATGGACTAGGCCATAAATTCATGTTTACTCTTGATTATTCATGAAATCATGTTGCTTGACTGTGTATTTATTATATTCTAGAGTCTATAATTATATATTATTGTATATAATATCTATAATTATCTATATAATATAATTGTCTATAATTATATATATTATAGACATTATATAACATATATAGTGTCTTCATGCAGGTAACAAAGCAGTTTTTTTTTTTTTTGGCTTTTTGGTTCACACCAGCAATTCTCAGGGGTTAGTCCTGGCTCTGCACTCAGAAATCAATCCTGGCGTTCCTCGAGGGACCATACAGGTTGCCGGGGCCCGAACCCGGGTCAGCCATGTGCAAGGCAAATGCCCTGCCCGCTGTGCTGTTGTTCTGGCCCTGTAAAGCAGTTTTTAAGTCATAAAAATGAGAGATAATGTTTTACAGGCTATCAATCTGCTTTTACTTACTTCCAGTTAAATTAGCTGTCATGGTCACAAGCAGTAGGGATTAATTTGGGGGCCCACCCAGTGGTGCTCAGGACTTACACATTGCTCTGTGTAAGTCACTCCTGGCAGTGCAAGGGGACCAACTACACATGCCAGGGAGTTGACTGTGTAGTTGGCACAAGAAAAGCGCCTCAACCCTTGTACTATCTCTGGCCTTCAAAGTAAGGCTTTTTTTTTTTTTTGGAGGGTGGGTCGCACCTGTTGATGCTCAGGAATTATTCAGGGGTTATTTCTGGCTCTCCACTCAGGAATTACTCCTGGCAGTGCACAAGGGGACCACATGGGATGCCAGGGATTGAAACTGGGTCAGCTGTATGCAAGACAAAAACACCGGCCCAGTGTATAATCGCTCTGGCACCAAAAGAAGGATTTTTAAATTAAACCAAATGGGTTTTCAAACATCAGAACCAAATTCCAAACACAGAATGATTTTCGTTCCTCATCATTTACAATGGAGAGAATTCTTTTTAAATGATGTAAACGATCATAATATTTTCTATTGGCCAATATATAATAATCATCCAGAATAAAATATGTATTGTCACTGTCACTGTCACTCTCATCCTATTGTGCATCGATTTACTCAAACGGGTGCCAGTAATGTCTCCATTCGTCCCAGCCCTGAGATTTTAGCAGCCTCTCCTCACACATCCTTCCCAGCAGTGCCATATTGGAGGCTGTTTCAGGGTCAGGGGAATGAGACCCATTATTGTTACTGTTTTTGGCATTCACCACGGGTAGCTTGCCAGGCTCTGCCATGCAGGCAGGATACTCTTGGTAGCTTGCCAGGCTCTCCGAGAGAGAGAGAGATAATATAAATACATAATATACTTATATTTATATTATAAATATATTTGTTATAAAAATATTATAATATAATTATAATATATAAATATATATATTTCCCTCTATGATTTGTTGCCTACTGTCTGAACCCCATAAAATATGGCGTGGTAATTATGGAAAATGGGTAGATGTGTCCAGAAATATGTTCACTCACGTGTGCAGCTCGGCCCAAGCATGCGTAAAGTGGCCTCAAGCATGGCGGTGGTTGGGTAGCGGAGGTTGGCTGCTGGGGCTGGGTCCCTTGGGGTGGGGAGGGCTCTAACATGCCCCCCTCTGGGGCTCCCCGAATGGAACAGCCTGGCGCAGAGTTTGGTGGCATGGTTATGGGGCCTCATTTTATGCTCCCTTCCAGGAGAAGCAGTTGTGAGTTCTGGAGGGTGGCCGATGAGGAGATCATCTGGTGCCAGCAGGAGGTGGCTTATGGGTTAATGGGTTATATGTATTAATTAAAATATTAATGAATATGAAATGTCAGATTCTTTACGTTTCTAATAAACAGTCACTATTACTACAAAATGTTATGAGAAAAATGTATAGGTCATGGTGAATTATTTTTAACTGAACCTTAGTTAATTTTTGCTCATACTGTACTAACTTTCTCATACTGTACTCTTGTAATAGTACCTGGCACTGGTATTTAATAATTGATTGTTGAGGGGCCAGGAAGATAGTATAATGGTTAGGGTGCATGCCTCACAAGCACTGACTAGATTAGATTCCCTGCCCCAGGTATCATGACTGTGGAGGCCCCAGACCCACAAGGGTTGCCCAAATATCTCTGGCTCTACAGGTCCCAAGTAGCATCAAATCCGCAGAACTTTGTATTAAACCTGTTGCCCAGTTGGCCGGGAATCCTTGGTGGGGCCCCCAAATCTCCTAAGCAGCACTTTAAGAACTATCCCCTCAAAAAGAATAACTGAGCTTTAAAAAAACTCTTCTTCCGCCCAGCTGATGGATAAACCACCACTTTAATATGTTGTTGTTAAATATATCCATTGTAACCCATTAACATGGCAACGGACGATGACATCATTCTTCAAAGCCCTGAGACAGATGCTTTTCCTTGGGAATTCTCCTTGTTTCTGATCAATATCGAGGGCCTTAAACACACAGTTTTGTCACTCCCTTCATAGTAAATTCTGCAGGTATGTATAGTCACCAATCGCTGGAATATATAAATAACAGCAGTGTGTGATTATTTCACCTTTACAGTGCCATCAGTGTGATATGTCAGAGCCACATAGAGTATCTGGCAAGAGACTTAATACTGGTTAGTCATAAATACCTGATTGATTATATTGAAATTTTAAACAAGTATTATAGTAGTCAAAATGAAGAATCTGAATACCACCCACATCCAAATGTTATGAGCAGTGCTCATAAATACCTAGGGCTTATTCTGGTGCAGCTGGTATTGAATATGACTCAACTATTTTTAGATATTGCTTCAGAAAGCAGCTGAAGCAACAGTGCCATGATGTTGATAGTGCTTAAATGTGGCCAGTACACGGAATTCATAATTCAGACACTGGAATTCTCGTGCTGAGTGAGGTTTCCAAGGTGGCAACAGGCTTTTGGTCTCTCAGTATCAGAGGAGGAGCCGCTAGCTACAGATCTATACCCCCTGCCCATTAGTTTGCTAGCAACCATATTTCAGTAGATAAAACTAACTTTTTTAAAAGCAGGAGATAGTTCAGCGATGAAGACCTAGGAGGCAGCAGTTCAGTTCCCAGGACTGCCCACCAACTCCTGCCTTCCAGCATCACTGGCGCAGTCCCAGAGTTCTCCAGAATTTCTGGGGAGGGACCTGGGTAATCCAGTGACACTGCGCTACTCCTGCATTTTACTAAAGCTGGAACACCACTTTGCTCCACAAAGTTCTACGAAACAAAAGCAACCATAGACAAGGCTGCAGCACTGTAGCACTGTTCTCCTGTTGTTCATCAATTTGTTTGAGCGGGCACCAGTAACATCTCACAACAAATTGTGAGACTTTTTACTTTTTTTTGGCGTAATCAAATATGGAACGGGTAGCTTGCCAGGCTTTGCCGTGTGGGCGAGATACTCTCAGTAGCTTGCCGGGCAACCTTGTTTATGAACACGGAAGTTTGAATTTCAAACATACATCAGGAAGTAACTGGGTTTTTTTTTTTTTTTTGCGGGGGGGGGGGGGCATGCCCAGCTGTGCTCGGGCTTACTCCTGGCTCTGTGCTCATGGATCACTCCTGTCAGGGCTTAGGGGACCGTATCTTGTGGTGCCAAGAGTTGATTCGGGTTAGTCATGCACAAGGCAAACATCCCTGTATTATCTCTTTATCCTCAATAGCATTTTTCTTCTATTTTTCCAATAACTGGGAAATTTCAACTCCAGTAACTTGCAAGCTGTACAAGATCAAACCAGGCAGCAGGCTGACTTTAGTCTGTGGCTGTAATTTGGTTTATGAACATTTCAACTGACAGGGTTTAAAACAATGGGCTTCTGGTCATAGAGATGACAGAAACTCTAGTTCCACAAATACTTGTACTGCCCTGGTACTGCTTCATCATTCACTGCTAAAGTAAAGTAAAGTAAAGTAAAGTAAAGTAAAGTAAAGGCCCTCCCGTTGATCATCGATTTGCTCGAGCGGGCCCAGTAACGTCTCCATTGGAGACTTTGTTGTTACTGTGTCTGGCATATTGAATACTCCGGTTGGAGCGATAGCACAGCGGGTAGGGCGTTCGCCTTCCAAGCGGCCAACATGGCCGACCCGAGTTCGATTCCTCCACCCCTCTCGGAGAGCCCGGCAAGCTACCGAGAGTATTTGATATGCCAAACACAGTAACACTGCTAAAGAATGAGATTAATAAGAGGGGATGAAGCACGAGGACTGCCAGTAAGGTGCTTGCCTTGCATACAGTCAGTCAGGTTCATTCTCCAACATCCCATATGATGCCTGAGCATAACCCCTGAGCACAGCTGGGTGTGACCCAAAAACAAAAAGAAAAGGAGAAAGAGGATGAGGAGGGGAAGGAAGGAAGGAAGGAAGGAAGGAAGGAAGGAAGGAAGGAAGGAAGGAAGGAAGGAAGGAAGGGAGGGAGGGAGGGAGGGAAGGTGGGAGGGAGGGAGGGAGGGAGGGAGGGAGGGGAGGAGGAAGAGGAGAGAAGAAGGAGGAGGAGGAGGAGGAGAGGGAGGAGAGGGAGGAGAGGGAAAGAGGAGGAGGAGGAGAGCCTGTGTTAATCTCTGTAAACTTCCCTTGTCTCAGACAGACTAACCTAGTTTGGAGAAATTCAAATCCACCCATTTATTTCTAGCAGCGCCCTTGCTTGCAGGCAGTCTGCCACCCCTTTGCCCTCTCAGAAACAGCCTACCAAAGTAACATAGTTTCAGACTCAATGCCAAGGCTAGCACTTCAACTTCATTTTTTTAATCAAAATAGCAATAATACCCCTCTCCCAGTATTTATTCTGCAAAAAGCTAACAACAAAATAAAGCTTACAGAAAACAGAAGAGCTGTTTTTCTTTGAAGGCACTGGTTTCAGTTTGCATCTAGAACCTTTGGTAGAAAGATGATCAAACGCAAGCTTTCCCACTGTTGGCTTGACCTCAAACCTTTCTGAAAATATTAACCAAAGAACCATTGCTTTAAAATTCACTCTGTAAGAAGACACCCAAATTGTAAAATACAGTTAGTTACTTGAACATCTGTTCTATCATTTTTCCGGAAGCAGTGTAAATACGTAGGTCAAGAACCATTTGCCAGGACCAGAGTGATAGTATAGGAGGTAGCGCGTTTGCCTTGCACGTGGCCAACCCGGGTTCGATCCCCACCATCCTATATGGTCCCCCAAGCACCGCCAGAAGTAATTCCTGAGTGCAGAACCAGGGGTAACCCCTGAGCATTGCTGGGTGTGACCCAAAAGGAAAAAAATAACCCTTTCGTCTACATTATTCACAGTATCCTTCACGTACGAAGAAATGGTTGTAAAAGATTATTTTTTTTTAGGCAGTGTCTTCATGCTCCTACTGGATTATCAATATTTAGATTAGATATCTTACATAACACACATACATAGAAGTGAACAAATCACATTTACAATTTGATGAATATTTTAATATTATAGCTTGACGAATATGTGAATATGCCCAGGATATGAGCACCCAGACCAATCGTATTAGACCCAAGCCCTCCTACAGAGTACCCTCAGAAATTAACATCACTGAAAATGAATTTTACCTATTCCTATAATTCAGAAAAATAAAATTATAAATTATTTATTTCATGCAGCAAACATTTAACACTATCAAAACAGTAGCTTTAGGGTAATGGTTCCAATGTCACGCTGTGCAAGCAAGAGGCCTGGTTCAATCCCTGGAACTGCATGGTCCCCCAGCCTTTCCAGGCACGAACCTGAGCAGAGAGACCCTAAGCAACAGTAGGTGTGGCCAAGTATAGTGACTTAGTTCTACTGTCCATCGTATTTTTTTTTAATAATGTAGGAGTACTGCTATTTATTCAGCCATTGATAACAAGCAATACAAAACAAATTGTCTAGCATTACCTTTTCATCAAGTTTGAGTGGTGGTGAGACTGGTGTTGAAATATCAAATATAACCAAAGTAGAGAGAGAGGGTATGGGGAAAACTGTCTCCCTGTATTTCTTAATGAATACTGTAAACTGCCACCCTTAGGCCTCTACTACCCTGGGCTCCAAGATCCCTCTGCAAGTTCCCCTTCACTGAAGCCCGAAAAAGTAACCGTGACTTCTCCTCATCTGTCTTGCTGTTTATGCTGGTGTAACTCTGGCCAGTCATATCCCCTTCGCTGTAGATATCACAATTTCTTAACACTTACAGTCCTAGAAAGCAAAATTGATTATAATAGAATATACTGTTCAAGAATCTGAAGAGTTAGGGGCAGATTTGTGACTAAAGTAAAATTGTGTTGGGGGGACAGAAACAAAGATGGACTTGGATTATTTTTCACTTGAACAATTTTGTTTTCATAAGCTTCATTAGGTAAAGGCCCTCCCGTTGATCGTCGATTTGCTCGAGCGGGCCCAGTAACGTCTCCATTGGAGACTTTGTTGTTACTGTGTCTGGCATATCCAATACTCTTGGTAGCTTGCCGGGCTCTCCGAGAGGGGCGGAGGAATCGAACTCGGGTCGGCCATGTTGGCCGCTTGTAAGGCGAACACCCTTGCACACAGCCTTGCACACAGCCAACATGGCCAACCCAAGTTCGATTCCTCCGCCCCTCTCAGAGAGCCCGGCAAGCTGCCGAGAGTATCTCGCCCGCATGGCAGAGCCTGGCAAGCTCCCCCTGACATATTCAATATGCCAAACACAGTAACAACAAGTCTCACGATGGAGATGTTACTGGGCCTGCTGGAGCAAATCGATGAAGCTTCATTAGAACCAATGAAGAGGAATGGTAATTGTGAGAGAAATGTAAACAAGTATTAGATATTATATACTTGTTTCTATTTTTTATACTTATTTTTAATAATTATTTAAAACAAAATGTGGTGTTAAAAATGGTTTGATAAAATGCATGCCAGGCAACAAAGGATGTGAGCGAGGCAGGGATCTGCCAGGAAATGAAGCATCATAGTTTTCTATCCACCCAATTTCCTGCTTCATTCAGTTTCCATTACTATAGCTCTATATTGCAGAAAGTAAGATATTCCCACCTTTTTTCTTTTTTAAAATTACTTTGGCTCTCCTGCAATTACCTATGAAATTGGGATATTTTTGTTTTCTATATTTATAAAGACTACCACTGGAATTCCACTAAAAAACATTATACTGATTCTGTAGGCACTATAGGAAGCATAGATATTTTAACAATATTACTTGCTTTTCTCTATGAACACAGATTATATTTCCACTTCTTTAATATCCTGCATCCATACTTTATCATCTACACTGTGAGGAATATTCACAATACATAAGGAATTCCTGCAACTCAATAGAACCAAAAAGCATTATTAAAGATGAGCCACTCCTGGGAATATATCCCAGAGAGGCAAAAATGTATAGTCGAAGTGACATCTGCACTTGTTTGTTCATTGCAGCACTCTTTACAATAGCCAGAAACTGGAAGAAACCTGAATGCCCAAGAACAGATGACTGGTTAAAGAAACTTTGGTACATCTACACAATGGAGTACTATGTAGCTCTTAGAAAAGATGAAGTCATGAAATTTACATACAAGTAGTACAATATGGAAAGTATCATGCTAAGCGAAATGAGTCAGAAAGAGAGGGATAGACATAGAAAGATTGCATTCATCTGGGGGATATAAAGTAACAAAGTATGAGATTAATACCCAAGAACAGCTGAGATCAGCACCAGGATGATTACTCCATAACTTAGAGGCCAGCCGGGTATCCTAGAGGAAAGGGCAGTTCAGATAGAGAAGGGAGCACCAAATAAAGGATGTTTGGAGGATCCTCCCAGGAGGGGAGATGCATGTCGAAAGTAGACTATGGACTGAACATGTTTGCCACTCAATGCCTCTTTTGCAGACCACAACACCCAAAAGGAGAGAGAGAACACAGGGGATTGCCCTGCCACAGAGGCAGGGGGGGATGGGGGGATGGGGGTGGGAGGGATATTATCCATGGTGGTGAAAAACGGGCACTGGTGGAGGGATGGGTATCTGATCATTGTATAATTGAAACCCAAGCACAAAAAATTGTAAATCTACAACTGTAAAAAAAAAATTAAATTAAAAAAAAAAAGATGAGCCAAGGGGGATCGGGATAAAGCCCAAGTGGTAGATAATGGACTTACCATGCCCAAGTGTGATCCCAGACACACAGCACCATTGGAACTGAGCACCATCAGGCTACCCCTCCAAAATAAGTACCAAAAAGAACCTGAGCAAAGAAACTGAACAGGTCTTTCTCAAAAGAAACAGTCTACAGAGGAGATGGGAAGATGGTGTGGCGGGTGAAGCTCTTGCTTTGGGTGCAACTGAAGCAGATCTAACCCCTGGTCCCCCATATGATCCCCCACACCTCACTCATAGTCATTCCTGAATGTAGCCAAGATTAAGTCTTGAGAGCCACTGGGTATGACCCTAAAAAACAAAAAATGAGAAGCAAAAAAGAAAAGGAGTGGAGGCATACAAAAAAGATACTCAGCACAGTAAACAGGCATAACAAAAGATACTCAGCACAGCAATCATGATTACCAATCAGGACAATGCAAGGAAAAATCACATGAAATACTATCACACATCTGATAGTTTCACTATTACCAGATCAAAATGAGGAAGAAATGAGTTTATGTTTCTGAAATGAGAACACCGTAAACTACTGTTGGAAATGTTACTTGGTGCAAATTTTATGAAAAATATGTGGAATTAAAAATTAAATTCAAAATGTAAATGCCCTATATACAAAAGTTCCACATATGGGTATATGCCAAAAGAAATAAAATTAGCATCTCAAAGATGCCCTGTACTCCCATATTCTTTGCTGTATTATTCACAATAGCCCAGTTAGTGAAACAACCTAAATGTCTAAAATTATATATGTGATGGTTCACAAATCACAAATCACAAATCATCCTGTTAATCGTCGATTGCCTCGAGCAGGCCCCAGTAACGTCTCCTTCATCCAAGCGCTGAGATTTTTTAAAAAGTGCCATAGTCAAGGCTCTTTCAGGGTTAGGAGAATGAGACCCATCATTGTTACTGGTATTTGGCATATTGGGTATGCCACAGGGAGTTTGCCAGACTCTGCCGTGTGGGCAGGCTACATTCGGTAGCCTGCCAGTTTGTCCAAAGTGCATGCAAGGCAAGTGCTAAACACGTGTAATGTCACCTACTCACAGGTTCCAGGAATAAGGCTGTGAAGAATAGAGTAGGGGCCATTCTTCAAAGAAAACTCAAACTTTAAACTTGAGAAACATATGTGAATGAAATGAAAAAGAACATAAATAGTAGCATAGACAAATACGTGTGCATGTGCATAGGAGAGAGAGAGAGAGTGTGTGTCAGTATGTGTAGAGGGGATTGAACCCAGAGTCTTACACATTTCCCCCACTGTTGATCCATCTCCTACCTCCTCAACACTTTTTATTTAAATGAAGGGTATTATCAGTAACGTCAGCAAACAGTGTTTCCTGGAAAAGCATGGACAATATATTTGTGGCTCATGCATGAGTGTATCAAGGTATTGGTCATCTCCATTTCTACAACTCTAAGAATACACAAACAACCATGGCATTCATCCTCTGAAACTGTTCACTGAATAGATGGGCAGATAATGTGTTCTACAGAAAATGTACATGCTGAACAAAACAGACAGTTGAATATGAAACACTGCAAAACACCAAAAGCCTGAACTCTTCTCTACTTACAAGTTCATGAGGACGGCCACGGCAGAAAATAAATCAAAGAAAAGCAACAAGATGACAGGAGATGGAAGAATAAAGAGAGGGAGGTCAAAACACAAAATAATGCCTCTCATAACTCTGTAGAGGAGTTTAAAAGAGAGAGAAGAGAATAAAAATGAGAGAGGGAAAAATGTCTCTTTCCTTCAGAAAACAAGGTTCAGAAGAGAGATAAAGCCTAGTGACCTACATCTCTGTCATTCTGGAATGCTTGGGGCTGATGGCAACTAAGTTTCTGGAATCCAGGGAGAAAGAGTTCAAGACATGAGTGTCCTGAATACAACAGCAAAGCAAAAAGATAAAAATTTAAGGGGGCGCTACACACAACCTCAAATATATGAACATCTAATCTTTAATAAGGGAGCAAGAAATGTGAAGTGGGGCAAGGAAAGCCTCTTTAACAAATGGTGCTGGCATAACTGGAAAACCACATGCAAAAAAAAATGGGCTTAGACCTCGACTTGACACCATACACAAAAGTCAGATCAAAATGGATTAAAGACCTCAACATCAGACCAGAATCCATAAGGTATACTGAAGACAAGGTCAGTGAAACCCTCCACAATATTGAGGCTAATGGTATCTTCAAACAGAGATAAACAAATGGGACTATATTAAACCAAGAAGCATTTCTGAGAAAATGCTCTACATCACTAATCATCAGGGAGATGCAGATCAAAACAACAATGAGACATCAATCATCTCACACCACAGAGACTGATCAACATCCAAAAGAACAAAAGCAACCAGTGTTGGCACGGATGAGCAGAAAAAGGGACTCTCGTTCACTGCTGGTGGGAATGCTGACTGGTTCAGCCCTTTTGGAAAACAGTATAGATGATTCTCGAAAAATTAGAAATTGAGCTCCCATTTGACCTAGCAATACCACTCCTGGGAATATATCCCAGAGAGGCAAAAATGTATAGTTGAAATGACATCTGCACTTCTATGTTCATTGCTACACTGTTCTCAATAGCCAAAATCTGGAAAAAACCCAAGTACCCAAGAACAGAAGACTGGTTAAAGAAACTTTGGTACCTCTACATAATGGAATACTATGCAGCTATTAGAAATGATGAAGTCATGAAATTTGCAAACTAGTGGTTCTACATGGAAAGTATCACGCTAAGTGAAATGTGTCAGAAAGAGAGAGACAGACATAGAAAGACTGTACTCATCTGAGGAATATAAAGTAACAGAATGGGAGATGAACATTTAAGAATAGTTGAGATAAGTACCAGGAGGTCTGCTCCACGGCTTAGAAGCTGGTAGCACATGCTGAGGGAAAAGGCAGCTCAGATAGAGAAGGGAACACCAAGTAAAGGGTGTTTGGAGGACTTGCTCAGGATGTGAGATGCGTGCTGAAAGTAGACTATAGACCGAACACGATGACCACTCAATACCTCTATTGCAAACCACAACACACTAAAGTAAAGAGAGAGCAAAAGGGAAGGCCATGCCACAGAAGTGGGGTGAGGTTGGGGTGGGGGGAGGGCAACTGGGTTCATTGGTGGTGGAGAATGGGCAGTGGTGGAGGGATGGGTACTTGATCATTGTATAACTGAAACCCAAGCACAAAAGTTTGTAAGTCTACAACTGTACTTCATGGTGCTTAACTAATAATAAATAAATAAATAAAATTTTAAAGGGGCGGGGAGAAGTCCCTTCTATGTCTTCCATCTGCACATGTAAGTTGTAGGCCTTGAGACTGATTTTAGCAACACCACTGGGAAACTGTCGTGTGTTGTCCCAATTTGACTTGCCACCTAAATCCAACAAGCCTATTCTGGAAAGGATAACACTAACCATAACCTTGGATTTAGTCAACCAAAGTGCTTCTAAAAGGTCTTTCTGAAATAGTTAGATCCCGATGAACTCTTCAACCCTCACCTCCATTTTACTTCATTGAATTGATAAACATATTGAACACATTTTTGTTGTTTTTGCGGCCCTACCGACCACAATGTTGCATGGAAGAATGACAATATAATATATTCACCTATGCTTTTACCAAAGGGATTGGTGCCTGAAACCCAATCATGAATACCTTTGTGACTAAACTGTTCTTTTTTTTCTTTTCTTTTCTTTTTTTTTTTTTGCTTTTGGATCACACTCAGTGATGCACAGGGGTCACTCCTGGCTCTGTATTCAGGAATTATCCCTGGTGTTGCTCAGAGGACCATATGGGATTCTGGGAATCGAACCTGGGTCTGCCGCATGCAAGGAAAATACCCTACCCCTACCCGCTGTGCTATTGCTCCAGCCCAGCAATTTTTTTTTAAGAAGAAATTAAAGTAAAGCAAATAGGGCACTTGCCTTGCATGCAATGGTCCTAGGTTTGATACCCGACACTTGATATGGTACCTGAGCCTGCCAGGAGTGACTATTGAACACAGAGTCAGAGGTAAGCCCTGAGCCCAGCCAAGTGTGTCCTCAAAACAAAACAAAAACTAAAGAAAAGACAAACCACTCCAGTGAAAATAAATTATTCAAGGTTTTTGTTTTTTCTTTTTAAAACTGAGAAACAGAAAACAAGATTGGGCAGGCTTTTCTTTCATCTAGGTCCTGGAATAACCTCATGATATCTGCAAGAACCCAGTTGGCTAGTTCTAAGAAAAACTTACCTGGGTACATGTCTCTGCTTATTTTTCTTTGCAACATATGTAAGAGGAGGAGGAACTCTGCTCTCCGTTTATGACTGAGGGTGTTGGGATTACTTATCAATTCTGTTAACTTGATATTATCTTTAATAGACTTTGAAGCCGTGGACCTGGACACCGGAGGCAGACTCATCTGGTAAGTAAAGTCCGTGAAATTCACAAGGTCACTCTCCACGCTCTTACTCCTGGAAATGAAAAACAAAATACTGTTGACAGACTTATTTTAGTGAGATTAGTTTCATCCCCAAAAGTGTCATATTCAATGAGATTAATAAAAAATGTCAAATAACTCACTCTCGATGAGTCAACAAGGTATACAATTCCTCAATCAGTATTTCGGGCACTCCAGATTTACAGTGAATTGTTCCATGAATTAGTTCTTTAGGTAATTTTAGATATCTTTTGGCCAGGAACTTGATTAGTAGAAAGAAAATATTTTCATTATATCCTAAGAGAAATCTATACTATTAATTCACTTTCATCTCCCTTCTATTTCCTTCAACTAATTTTGTTTTGTTTTAGGTTTAGGGGCCACACCCTCCTGTGCTCAGCACTTACTCCTGGCTCTGTGCTCGGGGATCACTCCTGGTAGTGCTCTGTAGATCATATGTGGTTCAGGCATCGAACCCGGGTCAGCTGCATGCAAAGCCAGCACCCTATCTGCTATACTATCTCTCTGCCTCTCAGCCAATATTCTAGTGTTTAAACTGTTAATTTTTAAAAGGTATTCTTCAGCATGAAAAATATCTGTTACCTCTCAGCAACTTCATAATGCGTATACTCAATTTTTATTCATAACAAATTTTAATCATCAGCTTTTCTGTACAATGAAATGGGCTGCCTACATAATTCTCAAGCACAATCATACAGATATTATATATAGCTATCCAAGATTTAATGAGTGCACCTTTTGCAATACTTAAATGTCAGATTGTTAATTTACCTTCTCCAACTGTCCCCAGTTACTTAACTTCACTTTCAAAGAAGTTCCATTTTCAAAGGTTGACAAGTGAAGATCCCAAGGGAAATATATACTGAGTATTTCTGCAACCAGGTAGCCATTTGAAAAATCCCTGATCCACAGCGATGAGAAAATGAAACAAAATTAAACAGTCTGCATCATTTCTAGTTTATTCAGACCATTCTAATATTCTAATATGGATTGCAAAGAAGTTACAAAATTTCTTCTTGACTGGGTCATGGCTCTAAGGAGAATGGGCAATGAAAGAGCTCTTGGATTAAGATTAGATAGATTAAGATTAGATTCAACTCCACAGACTTTGGTGTTCTTTCTCTAAATCTAAATTCTTTGTCTTGAATCTGCATTGGAACAAGCTCTCCAAAAGGCTCTTAGACACATGGACAGCTTCTGGCCCGTCTTTGTCTAAGAATATTAGTAAAGCAGAGGCTTTGCCTGCAAACAGCTCGTTACCATATTGCTTTTGGACTTGAGTTTGCATGCCCAGGGCAAAGATGAAGTGCATCTCTGTGCAGCAACTGCTCGCCCTCAAGCTGCATGCCATGTCAAACCAAGACAAAGGCGTCCTTAGTGACTACTGATGTCCGAGCTCTCTGAAGAGCCGTCCTTGACTGTTTTAACGTTTTTGGAGTCACCAAAGCACTGGAGAAATAAATGAATGAAATTCTCTAGTCTTTCCCCCACTCACCCCCACACACACTTTAGGGAGCCGACAGAGTGGATCATTGCGAGGGTCTCCGGTAATAGGGGATCCCCTGGTTACCCCAGCGGGGCTCAAGCATTTGCACAGCTGCACCCAGCTATGCCAGGGGACTATGTAGCGCCGAGCACTCGCTCCGACCCCAGCCCACACCAAGAGTGTGTGCAGTTCTGCTGCCTAAGAGGAGGGGCCCTCCGGGCTGCAGCACCTGTTGACGTTCTTGGGGAAGAAGCTGAGGTTCAGGCTCTGCAGCCAACGCAGAATGCACCGAGACAGGCGCGAGTTCTTGGGGGCGTGCGGGTAAACGACATGTTTAGGCCTCACGTAGACGCGAGCTGAAGACTCTGGTGACACCGATCGCGAAAGGGGTAAGGCTGGTGCCGCCGCCCCCGCCGACCCCGCCTCCCCCGCCTCTGCCGCCGCCGCCTCCAGCGGGGTCAAACCGGTCTTCCTTTGGTCGGCGGCCGCCATTTCTAGATTGCTACGGCAACGGCCAAGGCGGCAGGGCGGGGCCTCGGAGGATGGGGCGGGGCTTCAAGGAGAGGGCGTGGCTTCACAGGACGAGGCGGTGCCACAGAGGCAGTTGGAAGGATGGGGCGGGGCCTCGGGTGGTGGGGCGGGGCTTCAAAGGAGGGGGCGGGGTTTCACAGGACCGGGCGGCTCTTCAAACGCTTCAAAGGACAAAGGACGGGGCGGCGCCACACCGGCTCCTCAAAAGATGGGGCGGGGTCTCAAAAGATGGGGCGGGGCCTCGGGGAAGGAGGCGGGCCCTGATCTGAGTCAGCAGGGCCGAAGCCGCGCCCTGGAGGACTTCGGATTTGAAGCTGAGGTCCTCCAGGTTTTGAAGCTTGGTAGGTAGTCCAAGCGTGGCCCATTAACACTTGCATCTAGTTTTCTAATCCTTGGGCTGTGAAGCTTGGTAGATAATCCAATTGTGGCCCATTAACCCTTGCATCTAGGTGTCTAATCCTTGGGCTGTGAAGCTTTGTAGGTGGTCCAAGCATTAATCCTTGCATCTAGTTGTCTAATCCTTGGGCGGAGTTTTCTATCTAAGATCTAGTTGGCAAAACCCTGAACCAATTTAACAGCTCCCCTTTGCCCTTTCTTAGAACTTGATGTCTAAGTTTTTTGGGATCTGTCCAGTAGAAAATCTATTTTTCAGTATAGGAGTTTGAAGAGGCACCCAAAGGTGAGGAACGTTTTTAGAGTGGAAAACAGAAAGAATAGGGGTCCGTTTGCAGAATGTCAATGGAAAATCCCTTTCGTTCCTTCTTAGAGCTTGCTATCTAAAGATTTTTCGGTTCTGCCCAGCAGAAAATCTATTCTTCAGTACAGGAATTTGAAAAGGCACCCAAAGGTGAGGAACGTTTTTAGAGTGGAAAACAAAAATGATAGGGTTTCGCTTGCAGAATGCCAATAGAAAACGATGTCCAAAATTGAAATGAACGTTTAATGTTAAGAGCGCATTTCCTTAGTGATTATATTGGGATTCATGAAGATTACATAATAATGGAGAATAATTTGGTACATTTTCATGCTTCATCAAGATGACCTAGTACGTATGGTTTATTGATGCTTTACACAAGACTTTGCATCTCTTGTATGTATCCAGATGCTGATTTAGTTGTGTGGGGTTTATTGGTCAACAATAATGGAAAAAATGATTGCAAAGCAGGCATAAACAGTTACAAATAAAGTATGTAGATAGCAAATCATTAAAATCTGTAAAAATAAAACTGGAAAAATCAATATGGCAAGTAGAGACATGTTACTATGCAAGATAGTATAATTTAATACTTATTAACAAAGTACACTCATGTGAATGCTTACGGTGGAAGAGAAAATAAAAATTAAAGCCAAGTAAATGTTCTTTCTCAATGGAGTTTTCATGAATGATTGATTTATTCAATAAACTTTTTTTAGAATCATACTGCACTCTAGACCTTAGTTCACTCCCTAGTCTAAGAGCCACTAACTACATACAGCTACTGAGCATGAAATTAGAACAAATTTAAATAAAATAAACTGAGTGACCCCAGTTACATTTCATATGCTCAACAGCCAAGTGAGGCAAGTCACTAATAGTATTGTACAACACTATTGTACAATACAGCATTCTTCCAATATCACAAAAAATTCTATTGAATAACTGTGCATTAGATTTTTTTTTAATTTTATTGAATCACCATGAGATAGTTATAAGCTTTCATGTTTGGGTTACAATCACACAATGACCAAACAACCATCCCTCCACCAGTGCACATTACCCACCACCAATATCCCCAGTATACCCCCCTTTCCCACCCTCCCCCTACCTCCATGGAAGACATGATTCCCCATAATCTCTCTCTACTTTTGGACATTATGGTTTGCAATACAGATATTGAGAAGTTATCATGTTTGGTCTTTTTTCCACCTTCTGCACACATCTCCCATCCCGACCAATTCCTGCAGCCATCTTTTTCTTAGAGATCCCTTCTCTATTCCAGCTACCTTCTCCCTTTGCTCACGAGGCAGGCTTTACTACTCTCCATGTCTATCTATATTTATACAAAGTTCATGACTTCATCTCTCTTGACAGCTGCATAGTATTCCATTATGTAGATGTACCAAAGTTTCTTTTTTTTTTAATTTATTTTTTATTAGTGAAACACCATGAGGTACAGATGTAGATTTACAAATTTTTGTGCTTGGATTTCGGTCATACCATGATCAAATACCCATCCCTCCACCAGTGCCCATTTTCCACCACCATGAATAATATCCCTCCCCCCACACATCCCCCCCTGCCACGGTGGCAGGGCATTCCCTTTTGTTCTCTCTCTCCTTTTGGGTGTTGTGATCAGGAAAAGAGGCATTGAGTGGCAAACATGTTCAGTCCAGTCTACTTTCAACCTGCATCTCCCCTCCTGGGAGGATCCTCCAAACACCCTCCATTTGGTGCTCCCTTCTCTATCTGAACTGTCCTTTCCCCTAGAATACCCGGCTGGCCTCTAAACTATGGAGTAATCCTCCTGGTGTTTATCTCAGCTATTCTTGGGTATTAATCTCATATTTTGTTATTTTATATCCCCCAGATGAATGCAATCTTTCTATGTCTATCCCTCTCTTACTGACTCATTTCGCTTAGCATGATACTTTCCATATTGTACCACTTGTATGTAAATTTCATGACTTCATCTTTTCTAAGAGCTACATAGTACTCCATTGTGTAGATGTACCAAAGTTTCTTTAACCAGTCATCTGTTCTTGGGCATTCAGGTTTCTTCCAGTTTCTGGCTACTGTAAAGAGTGCTGCAATGAACAAACAAGTGCAGATGTCACTTCAGCTACACATTTTTGCCTCTCTGGGATATATTCCCAGGAGTGGTATCGCTGGGTCAAATGGGATCTCAATTTCTAATGTTTTGAGGAACGTCCATACTGTTTTCCAAAAGGGTTGAACCAGTCGGCATTCCCACCAACAGTGAAGGAGTGTCCCTTTCTCGCCACATCCGCGCCGGCACCGGTTGCTTTTGTTCTTTTGAATGTGGGCCAGTCTCTGAGGTGTCAGATGGTATCTCACTGTGGTTTTGATCTGCATCTCCCTGATGATTAATGATGTAGAGCATTTTCTCATGTGCTTTTTTGCCATTCGGATTTCTTCTTTGAGAAAGTTTCTGTTCATTTCATTGCCCCATTTTTGGATGGGGTTGGATGTTTTCTTCTTGTGGAGTTCAACCAGTATTTTGTATATCCTTGATATCAACCCCTTGTCAGATGTGTATTCGGCGAATATTCTTTCCCATTCTGTAGACTGTCTTTGTATTTTGGTCACTGTTTCTTTGGAGGTGCAGAAGCTTATTAGTTTAAGATAGTCCCATTTATCTATCTCTGTTTTCACTTGCTCGGCCAGTGGCATGGCATCTTTGAAAATACCATTAGCCTCAATGTCATGGAGGGTTTTGCCAACTTTGTCTTCAATGTACCTTATGGTTTCTGGTCTGATGTTGAGGTCTTTAATCCATTTTGATCTTACCTTTGTACATGGTGTTAGGCAGAGTTCTGAGCCCATTTTTTTGCATTTAGCCGTTCCAGTGATGCCAGCACAATTTGTTAAAGAGGCTTTCCTTACTCCACTTCACATTTCTTGCACCTTTATCAAAGATTAGATGATCATATGATTGAGGGGAGATGTCAGTGTATTCAACTCTGTTCCATTGGTCTGCAGTTCTACCTTTGTTCCAGTACCATGCTGTTTTGATTATTACCGCTTTGTAGTAAAGTTTGAAGTTAGGGAGGTTAATTCCTCCCATTTTCATTTTCCCAAGAATTGCTTTAGCTATTCGTGGGACTTATTGTTCCATATAAATTTCAGGAGTGTTTGCTCCATTTCTTTGAAGAATGTCATGGGTATCCTTATAGGGATTGTATTGAATTTATACAATGCTTTCGGTAGTATTGCCATTTTGACAATGTTAAGTCTCCCGACCCATGAGCAGGGGATATCTTTCCATTTCCTTATGTCCTCTTTTATTTCCTGAAGTAGCGTTTTGTAGTTTTCTTTGTACACGTCCTTTACTTCCTTAGTTAAGCTGATTCCTAGGTACTTGATTTTCTTGGGCACAATTGTGAATGGGATTGATTTTTTCATGTAGCTTTCCTCTCTCTCACTGTTTGCGTATAGGAAAGCCATGGACTTTTGGGTATTGATTTTATAGCCTGCAACTTTACTATACAAGTCTATTGTTCTAGGAGTTTTTTGGTGGAGGTTATTGGGTTCTCTAACTATAGTATCATATCATCTGCGAATAGTGAGAGCTTGATTTCTTCCTTTCCTACCTGAATGCCCTTAATATCTTTTTCTTGCCTAATTGCTATTGCAAGTACTTCCAGTACTATATTGAACAGCAGTGGAGAGAGTGGGCATCCTTGTCTCATCCCTGATCTTCGAGGGAAGGCTCTCAGTTTTTCCCCATTGAGGATGATGCTTGCGGTAGGCTTGTGGTAGATGGCTTTAACTATGTTGAGGAAAGCCCCCTCTATACCCATTTTTTCTAGGGTTTTCATCATAAAGGGGTGCTGGATCTTGTCAAATGCTTTCTCTCCATCTATTGATCTGATCATATGCTTTTTATCTTTTCTTTTGGAGCGATAGCACAGCGGGTAGGGCGTTTGCCTTGCACGCAGCCAACATGGCCAACCCGAGTTCGATTCCTCTGCCCCTCTTGGAAAGCCCGGCAAGCTACCGAGAGTATTCGATATGCCAGACACAGTAACAACAAAGTCTCCAATGGAGACGTTACTGGGCCCGCTCGAGCAAATCGATGATCAACGGGAGGGCCTTTACTTTACTTTTACTTTTGTTGATATGATGCATTATGTTGATTGATTTCCGAATGTTAAGCCATCCTTGCATCCCTGGGATGAATCCTACTTGGTTATGGTGTATGATCTTTTAGATGAGTAGTTGGATTTTATTTGCTAGTAGT